ACTTGAGTGAACACCCACCCGCTCTGACTGGGTTCGGTATCCCGGCTGCTTCGTTTCGAGGGAGGTAAACCCAAGTACAAAATATTGCACTTTTGATTTGCGATTATACGCTTATAATTTTGTTTATTTGTTTTTTCATAATCAGCAAAGCATATTATATGTCATGAAGAAGTGATAATTGTGTTTTAATTATGTTTGATTTTTTGGTTGCATGTGACCTTTAAGAATGGCAATGGTTACGGTTCATGTTAGCAACTGTTTTCTTATGCCCCTCCCCATATAAACATGTCGCTGTCTTTCTCAGTGTCATCTTATCACGACCCCCTCCTCCTTCATAATATATATCACGTTCCCTTATAGTAGCTGTCTGATAAACCCCTGAATGCGATTCATCGTATCTAGGAAGATAGTGCTGGGGTTGTGAAGGACACAACGTGTCACCCAACAAGGTACGAATGTAGTGTACATCTATTTACGTATCAAAGACATCTTGAAGGGTGGACAGTATGCCTCGTCTGTTATCTAAGGTTTAAGAGCGCGGGTATCAGATTTTGGGATCCGAATTTCCTAAGGAATAAAAAAATAAATTACTCAAAGCACGCAATGCTGGACACCTTTTATAAGAACAGAATAATCTGGATAAATTTATGACTTTTTCTGATGACTGATCGACTTTCGTTTTGTATAATTGTAAATGAAAAGGATGGACAGAAGGCTTTGATGAGGAATAGCACGGTATATTTGGGATTACACTTTCTCAGTAAAGTAGTGCTTGTCATAAGAGGCGACTAACCGGATCGGGTGATCAGGCTCGCCGACTTGGTTGTCAAATGTCATCGTTTCCCAATTGTGTATAACGATGCTCATGATGTTGACCATTGGATTGTCTGGTGCAGACTCCATTATTTACAGACTGCAGTCACATAGCTGGAATATTGCCGAGTGCGGCGTAAAACAAAACTCACTCGGTAAAGTAGAGATTCTAGTAGTTTTGTTGGGTCCCATCAGAGTCAAGCACCTAATCGCCAACACAAAGTCTGCTGTCTAACACACTCAGCCACCACCAAAAGGGAAGTCGGACAACCGATAGCCCAGACCACAGAGTGATCACCAGCTGATATATGTGAATTGGCACGGCAAATCGGTTATTACTCCTAGTTTAAGTGCACGAGTATTAGATTTTTGGCTACGAATTTCCTAAAGAATAACAACTAAAATACTCATAGCACTCAATGCCAGAACGAGTGAGTGAGTGAGTGAGTAGAGTGAGTGAGTGAGAATGACTGCTAAAGGCGGCGTAAAACTAAACTCACACTCGCGCAATTAACACTATCGATCCATCATGGTGGCCTGTTCAAGGTTGCCGATGTGATGCAGATGTGAGAGTATATCCCGATTTAATGAAGTCCACAGTGGCAAATAAATTTTAAATCATAATTGAAATCTGCAATCATTAAAGACATGTCGTGGAGAAATAACACAAACGTTGATTCATATATTGAGTTTGCTCGATTTAATGGATGTTAAGGCTCGTGTAACACCAGAATGACAAATACTTTTCCGTTGTCTTCCCTTTAGCAACTTCTTGCCTCAAGTTGAACAAATTATGCTATTCTAAACAAGCCATAACTACAAAACGGCTCGGCTCGGTTTCGTTCTGACAAACGCTTCCATCGCTTTGACCGTTGAATAAACTGCACAATTTATACTCAGTTGACCTCTGTAAAGTACCTTGCGTATCACAAACCTGATGATTTTATTCCAATTTAAAGCTCTCAATATTTTTGCCGTCCATTCTCGGACGAAGTCAGGACATATGCCCGGAAGTAAACAAATCTCAGGCTACAGACCCGCACCGAATAGTAGAGCGAGTTTCTGATTGGATAATATAGTTGCACGTTAAAAGAGGTGGGAATAATAGAAGACGCTATCCAATCAGAGACTCGCTCTACTATCCGGTGCGGGTCTGTAGCCTGAGATTTGTTTACTTCCGGGCATATTCGTTGGTTTCACATTAATTTTCGACTTGCTGTGCGCATGCGTGTAAAAATATCCACGGGCCAACTTCTGGTTTGGTCGTAAGCTTTACCGATAGTGTAAACACTCGAAAGAAAGCAAAAATCAAAACAAATATATGGTTTTATGTCGAATTTAACTGGTCTCAATTCATTTATGAATGGAAGGGACCGGAATTAGTTAAATAAATAGCTTAACGTTTGTTAACAAGCTCTTGTATAAACACATCTCACCACCACCCGTCCACCCTGCACATCCCCTTCTCACAACTAAAAAATACATCTCTGATGCAATGCCACCAAAATAGGACATCAATAATTGAAAACAATAGGCAAATGGATGTGTGTACTCAACTATGAACAGTTGTCACACGTAAATAATATTCATACAGCATTTATTTAGAGAGTGTTTACAGTATCGCTAATACGACCAAACCGGAAGTTGACCAGTGGATATTTTACACGCTCTATGCATGCGCACAGCGAGTCGAAAATTAATGTGAAACCAAAGAATGTCCCGACTTCATCCGAGAATGGACGGCAAAATTATTGAAAGCTTTAAATGGGAATAAAATCATCAGGTTTGTGATACGCAAGGTACTTTACAGAGGTCAACTGAGTATAAATTGTGCAGTATATTCAACGGTCAAAGCGATGGAAGGGTTTGTCAGAACGAAACCGAGCCCAGCCAGGCCGCCATTTTGTTTCGATTTACTGACACACCTTTTTTATATCTTATAGGTATAGGTCATGCTTATAAATATATCGGAGTCAGGCGCCTATGGACGAATAGCTATATTTCACTCTTTGGCTATCTGTACCCAAAGCCAATTTTGGACGCGAGATCACGGTGAAAACTTCAAGCAGCAAACGGCGTACAAGAATGAATTTCCATATTGGTGTCTTCTGTATTACACCTTGACGATAGCAAATATAAATACTGAATATAACATGTGGGTAGAAATGTGTTTTGACTTCCACTGCAGTAATTACCAAAAGCTTCCCAATCTCATTCACCTGAATCAGATGGTTGAAATAATAAAACAACTAGATATATTTCATGTTTTAATACTCATAAATGCTTCTTGCTTTATGAAGAAAGCACTGACAATTTTTTTTTATTATATATTAATATTTTTTTTCAAATTTCTGACGCATTATTACATATACCGTATTCATGGCAAATATTGAACAGAACTTTCTAACTATTCTGCATAGAAGAAAATAATATTTCATGCTCAAGAAATCCAGTGGCTGAAATCTGTACATTGTGAAAGGATGTGGTAATCAAGATACACACTGCCGTAGAGTGGAGAGTTGGAGGTAAGGAGCTTACAGTCCATAAACCGGATTCTAAGTGACTTGAAACGCAATGAAGTGGCAGCCCCTTACAAAATAACCGAAACACTGGGATAATAATAGTCCTGATAATTGATTTATGAAATATAAGGTCCCAGAGCTAAGGTTATTTTGCCAAGGGCTCAGAATTGTCCCACGAAATGAGGTAAAGCGTAACCAGGGTAAGTTACCATGGCAACAGTTACTGATACGGTTTATAATCAAAAGCAATCATCATTAAGACTAGAGGATACATATTCTGGTTTCAAATCAATTATATAGCTAATATACATTTTAGACTTCAAAATGGTAGCAAATCATCAATATGTACCTCTACCTTGAACCAAACTAAAACCCAGAACACAATAACAAATATAGGTTCAATACTCCACCATCAGCATAAAGGCTTCAATCACTAGAATACGTGATTGAGGTGACATTTGGCTAGTTGTCAATTTACAAAGCAGAATTGTGGAGGTAATCAATTAATACACAATCAAAAAGTCCTAAAAAATTTGATAAATACGCGCTTATACTGGAAACAATGCGTATCCTAGGCATATTTAATAAAAACCACAAAGCACAGAGATCAAACTTACCCCAAGAATATCACACGCCTGTACAGTACAACTGAAGTTAAAACCCTGACATACTGAACAAAACATTAGGGATCAGAAAACATTGGGGATATGTTTGAAATGACACAATTACCTAAAAACATCTCCCAAATCCCAAAAAAGATTTTTAGTTCAGTATATTCTTTGCAAACCTGGGCCCCAATCCTCAAAGCAATCATAGCTTAAGATGATTGTAACTCCCCTACTATAACATAGACTTATGACTGTCGTAGCACTAGGATTGCTTTGAGGATCGGGGCCCTGCTGCCTTAAACGTGGTACAACACTTTCAGGTGGGCACTAGTGTTAAGTATGATCTCTGGTCAGTATATATCCCTGTGGTAATACTGCTTAATCGTGTTACACGCTCTGCCACGACTTCAACCTAGGATAATCACTGTGGTTATTTAAGCATACAAAAGTGCATGTAAGTAAAGCTCCTATTCAGGTGATTGTTAATAGACATATCCACAGCACTCGGCTTAATTGCAACTAACAGGCTCAATGTGTCAGTTGGAGGGTACATTGTCATAACACCATAAACAAACAAACATTGAGGAGCATCCGGGTAATAGAAAAAGCCCAAGATTCGAAAGCTAACGCATTACATACAAACTTACATACGCACATATATGTAGTGTACCATAAGTTCAAATTACACACAATTGTAAATAATAATAATAAGGAAAGAAAATCTGTATCATGATCAACATATTATAATCAGCCATGATGAAGCTCGGAATTAACCACCAATCCATATCCACTTGTCGCAAACTCATCCGTTGGTGCAAATCCCATAATGCCCTTCAGTCTTTTCTGGCTGCACTGAGATAATGCACTGAAAGTGTGCACAAAAAAACGCACCAATGCTTGTTGCACTAACAGGCAAAATAACAGGAGGGTTTCATTGTATCAGAGTTTACCAGGTCACCAAGTGCAGTGATAGTGGTAGAACTCAATCGTGTTGGTAATTGTTGATATTTTTTAAAAACTCCCACTTTTCTAATCCCAATGCTCTTCACTATCCTTATTGGCAGCCCCTTATATCTTCTGAATCTTCTTGCCTACGACCACTGGGTTATTCTTCCGGATCTGCTGTTGTGCTAATTCTTTGTAATCGAAACTGCAGTCGTGTTTGTCTGAATATCGGTGTAGACTGCAGTAGAGCCCCCCACAGCGACACATAAAGCCTGCAAAACACAAATATCACACGTCAACATTCAACTATAAGTGAGTGAGTGAGTTTAGTTTGATGCAAGTTTTAGCAATATTCCTGTAACATCATGGCAGGGGACACCAGAATTTGGCTTCACATATTGTACCCATGTGGGAACTGAACTCGCATCTTTGGCAAGACGAGCAACACTTTAACCACATGGCCACCCAACCAACCCATTCATCTGTAATCATTTACACTTACAAATCTGTGATGAAGCAAATGACTTTGTGAGAGCAACTTTTTGTTAATTGCACATGGTGATGCTTCTATGTAGAATATTACACCGTTCTCAAATCAAGTTAATTTAGCTTGATTTGTTTGTTTGTTGGTTAACGCTGCACTTCAGCCATTTTCCAGCAATATGATATCAAATCTGGCCTAGACAATCCAGTGATTGACATCATGAGCATCGATTTTCGCAATTGGTATAAGCAGTGTATGAAATAAGCCAAAAACCCAGCCAGACATATGGGCTGGTAACTTCAAAAACTTACCAGCCCAGAAGAGATTTAACCAGTCCTTCTTAAATACTAAATAGACAGTGCCAATGGACATGTTATCTGAATATATATTTTTCACCTGTCCATTGAGCTGGCTAGCTGTAAAATAGACCCGTCAGCCAAAATCTAGCCTGTCTAGGGCTGTCAGAGAGCCTTATTTCATACACTGGTATAAGATCTGTCAACCAATCAGTCATTCTGACCACCCGCTCCTGTTAGTCAGCCTCTTATGACAAGCATGGGTTGCTGATGACTTTGTTAAGTAATGGTGAGGTGAAAGTGGGATTTTAAAAGCCGTTAGCTTGAGAATATTTACAGCTCATATGACAAATCCCAATGAGTGTATCTGTAGGGACCTGTAATAAATCAGACTTATAGATGCATTCATTGAGACATAGGTATGTCTATGAGGGTAGAAAAATGATGATCCAGTCCTAATTCCTCCGCCAAAGCATTTGTTTATCTAATGATTTCCCTATCACTAATAGGGGCACCTTTATCAGTTCCAGGCTATAATATACCAGACAGCGATTTCCGAAAAATCACTAATCTGCCTTTTGAACTCACGTCGAAGCGACCAGTCCTTGTGAGTACCCATTAATTAATTGGATCAGTTTGCTACACCAATCAAGTTCTCATTGACTTTTAACGCTCTTATGTATACAAGATTGCTGTTGTGGGATCTCATGGGACCAAATTTCCTAACCACTACACCATCGAGGCGATCTGACTTTGTTAGGCAAAGTAATAAATACTCATGGGTATAATCTTTAAAAGCCCCAATTGTGCATTGCTACACATTACTTAGAATTTCATTACAACCAATAATAGTACATATTATATAAAACTTCCCAAACATAATAACAGATGAAGAAGTGCTATCAGTTGATTTTGACTAATGAGGTGCTTATTGTGATTTGATACCTCTTGATGACCAATAAGAATCATGATAGTTTCAAACTTCGATTAAATTGTTACTCTGAAGTACAAAAATCAGTTTTGTATTCCTGCTCAGGTGCTTTAAGAAGTTATAGCGACCTTTCAAATTGCAGACAAAGTTGTATTTGATTCGAACAGCAACATCAAAGGCTTCTGCTTGCACAAATCAATAAAATGTGTTAAAACCTATTACTGATTAGGTTTATTATTCGTGAGATCAAGGTACTGCCTGACTCACCTGTTAGTCCAACCTTCTTCTTACAAGTATGACATCTGTTTTTCTTAGGCTTCTTGTCTTTCCCGTCTTCAGACTTCCCGTCATCTGACACCTCGGCCCCCCCTGGTGACAAACAACAAACGGTTAGGCAGGTGGGACACCAGGTGTTTGACTACATGTCTTCACAACTCTTTCCATAAGAAATGAGACAAACATGTATATTCACTTTTCAAACCCGAAATCCTTCATATAATTAGCACCCCCGTGAATGAGTAATATTGTATTGATTGTCTGCAACATTCCAGCAGCAGCAGTGTGGAGTAGTACTTATGTGAGATGTGAGTGAGTTTAGTTTTACGCCGCTCTTAGCAATATTCCAGCCATGTCACGGCGGGGGACACAAGAAATGGGCTTCACACATTTTGCTCGTCGGGAATCGAACCCGGTCTTTACGCGTGACCAGCACACGCTTTAACCACTAGGCTACCCACCACCCCAGTACTTCTGTGAGGCACTGAACCCTGGTCTTCGAGTGAGTTTAGTTTTAGGCCGCACTTAGCAATATTCCAGCCATACGACGGCGGTCTGTAAATAATCGAGTCTGGACCAGACAATCCAAAGATCAACAGCATGAGCATCGATCTGTGCAAGTGGGAACCGATGACATGTGTCAACCAAGTCAGCGAGCCTAACCACCCAATCCCGTTAGTCAGCCTCTTACGACAAGCATGGGTTACTGAAGATCAATATTCTAACCCGGACCTTCACGGGTCTCTGGTCTGAGACATAACAAGCATATGCTTATTATAAGATTGGGTACTGCCCCATTTTAACACAGAATTGCCCAAACAGGCACCACAAGATCCACAGTTGTAACTCTAAGACTAACCAAATGAATGTGACAGAGTTCATGAATTGTGTTCAAAGTAACAGGACATTGGGTCCTGTAAGATTCAGATGTCTGACCCACTGAAAATTCACAGGACCCATAGAATAAAGACTACACATATTTCAGATTTAACATTTCTCATAATTGGCACTGAAATTATTAACAAACGTAAAATTGATAAACAGCAAACAAGGGTCACATATAACAACTTCAGTCAAGTCATTGTGAAACAGACAGCCGGACACTGGGGCCAGCAGGTTGTAGACTTCCATCGCACCGTCGGGCTGAAACTGCCGGATTTGTCCGAGGACCCGATGCTATTCGTGAACACTGATGTGATTGTAAACTGTGAATACTCTGAGTAATGTCAAGGGGAGACAACTTCGTACCAGTGGCTCCTTCTTCTGTCTTCTCCGTGTCTTGCTTTTCCTGACTGGCGCTGGCTACAGGCACAGTGGGCGTGGCCGTCTCCACGCTAGGTGTGGTGTTGGTAGTGCTGGGCGTGCTGCCAGGGGGTGGCGACGTGGAAGATGGAGGATCTGGTGATGTTGTACCTGGAGGCAGCAAACAGAAAGTCAGCCTTGAGTTGACCATACTGCACATCATGATAGTACAACTGCATTTATCTTTATTCTTTATTACGAAAATAATGGTGACCATTGGTCCGTGACTACAATACAATAATCAGTAACTCCATTTATACAATCTGGGCATGCCCGAGTCATAAAATTGGGTTTAGTGTGAGGATCTTTGCCTTTATATCTCTGGATCTGTTAAGCGATAAGGATACCACATTGCTGTTCTAACATGGAAAGCCCACTTGAGAAAAAGTTACTGACTCCGACATGTCTTGTTTTATCTACTTATTGTCAGGCAGGGCAGGGCTTGATTTAAGAGATGTTAACCTAGTTGCACCAGAAGCAACCTATGGTAAAACCTAGCTGCACCAGCCAAATTCCAGTTGCACTGCTCTTATCATAATATGTAATGAAAGAAATGTGCTACTAAATTATTCAAAGCTTAGAAAAAAAATGAGCTGACATAAAAATGCTTATGTTAGATTTATTGTTGATTTATGTCTCAAAATTGACTTGCACCTGGTGTAAGTTAGACAAATAATTCGGTTGCACTTTGTAATATTGGGTTGCACCAGTGCAAGTAACAAAGCACTAAATCAAGCCCTGCGGGGTAATATCTTGAATCACCTTTTAACATCTCTTGGTAACGAGATGAGTGAGTGAATAATGTTTTATGATGCTTTTAACACTATTCCAGCAATATCATGGTGGAGGACACCAGAAACAGGCTTCAGACATTGTACCCATGTACAGTCCGTTTGGCTCAAAAGCGGACCTATGATTTGCAATCTAACTCGAAAACTAATGAACATAAAATACTCAATGAAAGCGCTGACCATAATCAAAACATCATACCCACTCTGTGAGAGGTTTTGCAGAAAGTTGTTTAACAAACTATCATTAAAATATTGACACAGTTCACTGTTTACATTATTACGAGGGAGGAATGCAGAAAAGGGACAGCCAGGTGTTCGAGAACGGATGGAGATGGCACAGCACAGGTTAATGAATAAATAACTTTGTCTGTGAACGTGTTTCGAACACCTGGCTGTCCCTTTCTCTGCATTCCTCCCTCATAACACAGAGTGGGTATGATGTTTTGATTATGATCAGCGTTTCATTGAGTATGTTATGTTTATTAGTTTTCGAAGTTAGATTGCAATTCATCGGTCCGCTTTTGAGCCAAACAGACTGTAGTTTTTCGGCATGACGGCGAACTCTTTAACCACCAGGAATTTACAGGGATTAAAAGTTATTTGTATGAAACAAATTTTATACACGCGTGGCATGCAGGACATAATTGCAGAAGCCGAAGCACTGCATCTATACTTTTGACACAACAAACTGACAAACTTGAATACTACTTTTGTGGACACAGAAAATCACAGACTTCTTCAACCACTGGATCACACACAGAGTCCAGTAAAATTCTGTTGAGTCCAGTAAGGTCAGTTAATAAGAGTACCCGTGAAGATCTAGGTTAGCATTGGTTTTGTCATGAAAGGCTACCGTCTGTATTTGTTGATGTAGTTTTTGACATCAACCTATGCAGTTTGGATATGATGACATGCTTCAACCTTATCAGTGTGCCTGACCACCCGATCACGTTGGTCGCCTCTTACGACTCTAGGGTTGGTGAAGACCAAACCTTACCTGGATTTTCACCAGTCCTCTGAATGTAGAGGAGGTGAGGTGAAATTGGGTTAACGTCGTGCTTGAGAATATTTCGCTCATATGACGACGTGCATGCGTGTATATGTGTATGTGCGGCTGCTTGTACTAGCCCAGACTTAAGCTGGTTTTATAGTGCTAGCCCACTGAGATACCATGCCGCAGTGAAGCATGAATACCCCACTCAGACACATTATACTGACTCCGAGCCGACCAGTCCTTGTTGTACCCATTAATGCCGAGCGCCAGGCAGGGACCAACAAGTACCATATTTTAGCGTCTTTTGGTATGACGCGGTCGGGGATTGAACCTGAGACCTTCCGCACTCCGAGCAGACGCTCTAACCGGTCGCCTCTTACGACTCTAGGGTTGCTGAAGACCAATTCTTACCTGGAATTTCACCAGTCCTCAGAATGTAGAGGAAAAGAAATGAAGCCGGATTGTTTCAGAAAGCAGACTTGAGATTTACTAAAGAGCCCATGCATCATTCATATAGCTCAGCCTTTAATACACACAGACAATGAGTGTCGATGTTTGGAAGTTTTCTTGCCAGGTAAAAAAGTATATCAACCAATCTGTACTTAAGGATATAAATTACTTCTATTATGACACTATCTGGTCGTGAAAAGGTGCTCTTGAGAGATCTTATTATGTCCGTAATATCTCTACCAATTTCAGTCCAAGTTCAATTCAATATTGTTGACATCAATTTTCACAAAATGTGTGAAAGCTGGTCAGCAACGCCACGCACGCACCACACACACACACACACACACACACACACACACACACACACAGAGAGCGCTAATATCATCATCATCATAACACATTTGTAATGCGCGCTGGTATCCATGCAGTCCATGCTCAAAGCGCAGATAGAATGTAACAAATTACATAGTTATAGTTGAAAAGGCTGTCCTGAACAAATGTGTCTTTAACCGGGATTTGAAAGTGACAAAGTCAGTACAGTCCCTGAGATTCTGTGGAAGTTTGTTCCAGGCCACTGGTGCTGCATAGGCAAAGGATCTGTTTCCATACTGCACTGTTCTTGTTTTAGGGACAACAAGCAGACTTTTATATTGCGAACGGGGCGGCGAGCGAGAAGGCTTGTACAGAGAAAGAAGACTGGATAAATATGTAGGGGCAGTTCCACACAGACAGCGAAGACAAGGCAGAGAAGTTTAAACTCAATTCTGAAATCCATGGGCAGCCAGTTTAGAAAGTATAGAAGAAGAGGAGTGATATGGTCATTCTTCCTGGATCTTGTCACAATGAGGGCTGCTACATTCTGGACTCTTTGTAGCTTTTGTAACTGAGACTTGGTTGCACCGGCCAACAGACAGTTGCAATAGTCAAGTCTGCTCATGACAAGGGATAGAACGAGTTGTTGCTGTTTCAGTTGTCAGGTATTGACGGATATTGCCTATGTTCCGGAGTGAGATGAAGCAGGTCTTAACTCGATTAGAGACATGCAGGGGTGGAAATAACCCATTGCCCGACGCCCGAGTCAAGTGTTTTTTTCTGTCGGGCAAGCAAATTTGTATATCACAATGTACCAGTGTCCAGTTGACTTTCCAATGTTAATTATGTTGTTTATTTTAAAAAAATCAACAAGAAAATCGGCCAGTATAGTGGAAAAATTATCAGGGCAAGTGATTTTACTTGTTCGACTGTACCGGAGTACACTAGCAATTTTAAAGTTATTTCCAGCCCTGGACATGATTGTCAAGTGACAAATTTGAGTCTAGGATTACACCAAGATCTCGGACTTGATCTGCGAAAGGAATATGTGAGTTGTCGAACTCGAAGGAATCAATAGCACCAAGTAAGAAAAGTACTTGAGTTGCCAGTTGGCACAAACTCACCATCATTTGCACTACCCATGGTCAGATTAATGACACTGATGCCTTTACTGACTGACTGAGTATGGTTTTACGCTGCTTTTAGCAATACTCCAGCAACATCACGGCGGGGGAAACCAGAAATGGGCTTCACACATTGTACCCATTCAGCGTGACGAGCGAATGCTTTAACCACTAGGCTACCCCACCGCCCCCTGATGCCTTTAAGTGAACCTATAGTTTGGCATGAAATGCATGTGGACCCGTTTTTTTGTAAATATCTCTTCATCCAATGACCCAATCGATCTCAAACTGTGCAAGTGGATGTTTTGTCAGACAACCTAATCACATTGTAAATCACCGATTTTATGCATTTGTATTAAAGAATCTGTCTATGTAACTGTCAACAAAATAAACAGCAGAACGCAGAAGGCTTGCAGAGGAAGGAGCCAATGACCTGTAACAGCGGCAGTGTTGGGTCATAAAGGTCAACGTTCGTCAATGTAGGTCAGCTATGCTGATGACCCTGATGTCAAAAGAATCTAACTTTGGATGCCTACCTTTTTGTACAAGGTTTTGTTTCTTGGTTGTTGGTTTATTTTTCACAATTGTTAGCACGATGTTCTTTTTTTCATGCCAAGAGCAAAAGTTGTGCGTTTCATGTAATCAGACACCTTATAAATCGGTTTGCTACCTTTGCTCTCTTTTAAAAAAAAAATTAAACACATTGCTAATTAAGCGTTTAGCATCATCTGAATAAGCTTTCATGATGACAGCTAGAAGTAGTCAATGTGAATGATCCAACGGTCTATCACTGTGCAGTGCACAGGTAACTATCATGAACTGCGTGCATTTACCTTTATGACCCAACACTACCGCTGTTACAGGTCATTGGCTCCCTCCCTCTGCAAGCCTTCTGCGTTCTGCTGTTTATTTTGTTGACAGTTACATAGACAGTTTCTTTAATACAAATGCATAAAATCGGTGATTTACAATGTGATTAGGTTGTCTGACAAAACATCCACTTGCACAGTTTGAGATCGATTGGGTCATTGGATGAAGAGATATTTACAAAAAGCGGGTCCACGTGCATTTCATGCCAAACTATAGTTGATTGCAAAGCGAACTACTATGTGAGTGGCGTTTATACCAACAGCATCATGCAAGGCCAATGAAATGCATACAGATGTTTCATGTTGGAAACATGATCCCTGACTGTAATCATAAGCCAATCAAACATATAAAAATCATAAATGATGATTGACAACATAGCATATGTTGACATTTATTAAATCACTGGAGTGTGGTTTTACTTCACTTTAAGCAAGGGGTTTAGTTTTATGCCACACTCTAGCTATATGGCAGCAATCTGTAAATACTTGAGTGTGGACCAGACAATCCAGTGATCAACAACATGAGCTTCGATCTACACAAGCGGGGACATGGCGTGTCAAGCAAGTCAGCAAGCCTGACCACCCTAACTCAAATCTTCGCGGGTTTTACAACATTCCAGCAGTACACGGTAGGGTACCAAAGAAAACTTGTTGAAAATGTGGAAAAATTATGGAAAATGTCCACACTAAAAACAGAAAAACACACATAATACAACCTAATTGGTTGTAATCATTGTAAGGACTAAAACCAAACAAATGAGAGTGTTTAGTTTTACGCAGCTTTAGCAATATTCCAGCAACATCATGGCAGGGAACACCAGAAATGGGCTTCACTCTAGTGGTGATCCGATTAATTGAAATAATCGAAGATTGGTCGTATGAGTGACTACTACGACCAAGCAATAGATCATGATTTCTCATAATTGAACACAAACAATTCTGGGCACGCTTGTTTTTCATCAACAATATTTTTCACAAGGTTGGTTTTGTCTGTTACATTTCATAAGCACTACAAGCTCGTTCAAAGTCATGATTGAATTTATCTTAAAGGCACCAAGAAATTTATGTTCCTAACATACTAGTCATCCTTTAAAGATGTGAAATTTTGCCCAAAAACCCCCAAAATAACTACGTTTTTTTCCCTTATTTTTTTGTGCATTGACAAATTTCATAAATGACGCTAACCAATTATTTTCAATGATTGATCAGTGGTAATGAACCAATCATCAATTATGAGATTTTAACCAATTCCCAACACAACTTCACACACTGTACCCGCGTGCTCAGTTTGATGAGCAAACGGTTTAACCACTCTACTACCCTAAGCACCCCAAGAAATGAAATCCAACTCATTAAATGAAACAGATGACAACAGACCGAGTACTTCCGCACTTGGTTTGCTGCAGTTTCCAGTGAGTGAGTGAGTGAGTGAGTGAGTGAGTGAGTGAGTTTTGTTTTACCCCACACTCAGCAATATTCCAGCTATATGGCCGTGGTCTGTAAATAATTGAGTCTGGACCAGACAATCCAGTGATCAACAGCATGAGCATCCATCTGCGCAATTGGGAACCGATGACATGTGTCAACCAAGTCAACAAGCCTGACCACCTTGATCCGTTAAGTTAGCCTCTTACGACAAGCATGAGTTACTGAAGATCAATATTCTAACCCGGACCTTCACGGGTCAATTGAGTGAGTTTAGTTTTACGCCGCTTTTAGCAATATTCCCGCAATATCACGACAGGGACACCAGAAATGGGCTTCACACATTGTACCCATGTGGGGAATCGCAACCAGATCTTCGGTGTGACGTGACGAGCGAATGCTTTAACCACTAGGCTACCCCACCGTACCCAGTTTCCATTGAAAACGTGGTGCTTTCACATCATTATGATGAGGATTGCACGTTGTTTGCAATAAGTGCTGATATTTCTATTTTAAGCGAGTACACATTCCATAGTTCAGCTGTCTTTCATTCATGTTTATACAGAAGCAAAGACAAACAAGTGTTTGCCACTGATATGGTAATGTCCCCTGCTGCTAAAGAATGGAATATCTATATTTACTAAAAAATTTGGGGTCACATACAAGATGCCTGAAATGACTGGTATCTTTCATAATCACCCAATGTAGGCTGTCAACATACTTGAAACATTGGGTGCAATGTTTTATGAGATATCGCCTTTAAAAAGCGGTCTAAGTATCGTGGTGACCTTGAAGATAAGGTCAAGGTCACCCAAATAAACTGGTGTCTGTGTAATACCCCAATGTAGGCTGTCACCAAATTTCAAGACATTGGGTACAACACAGTCCATGAGATGCCGTGTTAAGAAGAGTTTTAAAGTGTTCCAAGTGTCGTGGTGACCTTGAAAATAAGGTCAAGATCACCCAAATAAACTGGTGTCTGTGAAATCCCCCAATGTAGGCTGTCACCAAATTTGAAGACATTGGGTACAACAGTCCATGAGATGCCGTGTTAAGAAGAGTTTGAAAAGTGTTCAAAGTGTCGTGGTGACCTTGAAAATAAGGTCAAGGTCACCTAAATAAACTGGTGTCTGTGAAATCCCCCAATGTAGGCTGTCACCAAATTTGAAGACACTGGGTACAACAGTGCAGGAGATATCACGCTAACAACAGTTTGAAAAGTGCTCAAAGTGTCGTGGTGTCCTTGAAAAATAAGGTCACCCAAATCGACTGGTGTCTGCGTAATCCCCTAATGTAGGCTGTCACCAAATTTCAAGACATTGGGTACAACAGTTAATGAGATATCATGCTAACAAGAGTTTGAAAAGTGGTCAAAGTGTTGTGGTGACCTTTAAATAAGGTAAAGGTCACCCAAATTGACCGGTGTCTGCATAATCTCCCAATGTAGGATGTGACCAAATTTGAAGACATTGGGTACAACAGTTCATGAGATATCGCGTTAACAAGAATCGGAACGTACGTACGTACGGACGCCGCTGGATACATAGCAGGGTTCGAAATACCCCATATATTAGAGTGCCATGACACGGTAAATACTGAAATGGCACGGTTAAAAAATGTTCTTGGTGTTCTTATGGCACGCGCATACCTCACCTTTAGTCATGTAATCCCCAAAACAAAACACTTACGCAAATGACAAACAAGCAAAACATTTATTGACTTTATCGCCAAGGAAATCACTGGAATTATGATGGATGATGTCAAGAAATCTGGTTGTTTTTCCATTTAGAGTGATGGGAGTACTGATAGATTGGTTATTGAAGAGGAAATTGTGTATGTTAGATATATTGAACAAGTAAACCTGTCACAAAATTCTTAGCTATTAAAGGTGTTGGGAAAGCAGAACAAATGAAGTTTAAGAAAGCCATCTTAAACAAGACATATCGGTGATAACAGAAAACAGGTTACATTTGTTGTTTACTGACATTACATTTCATATGATCATCATCCTTGCTACATGTGGGCACACTTGATTTCTGAAAGGCACGTTTAAAATATTTGCCTGGTGCCCTGAGGCACAGTTAGAAAAAGAAGTATTTCTATCCCTGCATAGTTCCCCCTTCCGCATTGCGGTGGGGGACAAAAATATTTCATGGTCTGAAGTTAGATTTTGGCATATTCCATTCTTGAAAATATCCCCATACCAACAATCAACGCCAAGCTTATTAGACTTTTGTTAAACATGAGAGTTAGTAGCAGCAGTTAGTGACATTGTAAACTGAATACCAAACCATGTACACACTGAGGACGGCTGTAAGTCTGCCACATAAGCTTCAGCAGAGATAACTTATACAGAGATAGAGATGCAAAGCTAAACAAGGGAGGTAACTGAACAAGGAGATGGAACTGCACAGTTGACAGGAATTAGGTAGAGATGTCTGCCAATGTGATACATTACATGAGTCGTAGTCACAAGTCTACCACAAAAGCGTCTGCAGGGAAGATAGATATAGACAGCGTAGAAAGAAGCAGAGCTAAACAAAGGGAGGTAACTGAACAAGGGGATGGAACTACAAACAAAGATGACAAGAATTACCTAGAGATGTCTGAGCCAATGTGGCAGACATGCTGCTGGAGACGTCGTTGGTCTCACCTGTGGGGCTGACTTCGACCGCTACTCACAGGCGAGGAGGAGTTCTGTTTTTGGCTTTAGTGCATCTTTGTAGCACTTGGAGCACATGCCATCGAAAGCAGCATTGCCATAGAAACCACAGCCTGTGCGACAGAGTGTAGTGGGAGGCAGGTTCTGGTTCCCGTTCTGTTCCATCTAGAACCCTGGCAGGCACCCACACAACTGAAACAGAGGGTACACATGAGGTGGGGCACAGCATGGTTGGGAGGTGGGTCACAGCATGGTTGGGAGGTGGGACACAGCATGGTTGGGAGGTGGGACACAGCATGGTTGGAAGGATAGGGCAGAGCATGGTTGGGAGGGTGGGGCCATGGTTGAGAGGGTGGGTCACAACATGGTTGGGAGGGTGGGGGCGCAGCATGGTTGGAAGGGTGGGGCAGCATGCTTGGAAGGGTTGGGGACAGCATGGTTGGGAGGGTGGGGGCACAGCATGGTTGGGAGGTTTGGGGACAGCATGGTTGGGAGGGTGGGGGACAGCATGGTTGGGAGGGTGGGGGACAGCATGGTTGGGAGGGTGGGGGCACAGCATGGTTGGGAGGGTGGGGACAGCATGGTTGGGAGGGTTGGGGGGACAGCATGGTTGGGAGGGTGGGGGACAGCATGAAAAAGTGGGAGGGTGGGGGACAGCATGGTTGGGAGGTGGGGGACAGCATGGAGGGGAGGGTGGGGCACAGCATGGTTGGGAGGCTGGGACAGCATGGTCGGGAGGGTGGGGCACAGCATGGTTAGGAGGTGGGGGACAACATGGATTGAAGGATGGGGCACCATGGTTGGATGAGGTGGGACACATCTCAGATAGGTGGATGGGCAGAGTGAGTGAGCGAGTTTAATTTTACGCTGCTTTTTGCAACATTCCAGCAATATCATGACAGGGGACACCAGAAATGGGCTTCACACATTGTACCCATCTGTGGAATCGAACCCTGGTCTTCGGCATGAGCAAGCGCTTAAACCACTTGGCTACTGACATCAGCCCCAGATGGGCAGAGGAGATGGGGGAGGGCTGATGGCAATGGGGAAGGGGGCTCTTACACCCAACCCACTGACATTCACTCTTGATGCTGAAAAAAACAGAGGACACATAAGGACAACTCAATGAGGCCCTTGCATCTATCGACTGGACAAAGTGACTGGCAACCATAACAAAGAACACACTTGAAGTGGGGTACAACATGGATTGGGGATGAAGCAGGGATGAAGAGGCACAGGGTGACGGAAGGTGAGGCTTGTGGCTAGTAACTGGCAACTAAAACAAAGAGCACACACAAGATGATAAGGAGGGACAAGTGGTGGGGGTGGGGGTGGGCCACAACTTGGTAGCATCCACAGTTCACGCAACAGTGACAGACAACCGGAAGTACAACGAAGGTGGTGCACAGAACGGTGGCAGGTGAGCCATAAAGGTGGGGCTAAGGCATTGTAGGTTTATACATTGATGGAAATAAGGCAGTACATTGTAGTCCTGGGGCACTACAATGAGGGGGGGGGGGGGGACCATACCCACACATATTGTAAGGTGTGCACTGTGTGGTGGAGTTGGGCTGAAGATGGGGTAAAGACCTGATGACAGGTGGGGCAGCTATGAGAGGATTAGGTACATGGAAATGGAGCAACTGCAACAGGCAATGTCACAGTATTTAGAGGGACGCCTAACTTCAACAAGGGGGTGAGCGCAGTAGATTGAACAGTGAAACAAATGCACGTGCGGAACATGATGAGCGTTAACTTAAACCAACACTACTCGTTCTCGGTGTTTCATATCAAGTGCATACCCCCTTGTAATGCAAACCAATAATAGCGATTTGAAACTATGATCGTTTGTTAAACAACTTTTATCCTAAGTTGAATAAAATTCTGAGATTTGAATGTTCAATTGGCAAGGTAGATTTATGCGGATTCGCAATCTTAATTTCACTTTATTCGATTTACCTTTTTGTTTAGAGTGAAATTCATCGGTACGTTTTTCACTGCAAACAGACTATATATTTCATCACAAAAGCATTAGCATGCACAAACCAGGGACTTATTTGATATCTGAATTTTCTTCAAATCCAGATGAATTACCACTGTACCCAACACAGTGCTGGTATTAATCACTGGTCTTTTATCAGTGATATACAAGTCATCCTACATAGCCATAGCATTAGCTACTGCTATATTTACATTACTGAAATGAATATAAATATTCTTATTTTAAAGTTGGAAGTTTTACCAACATTTGCTGACAACATGACGACAAACATCAACCTCTGGCCCAGTGTAGACACACCCCTTGTATTAACCCCAAACTTTTGCAAAAATATTGCTCCATGTTCAAACAAGAAGACTACATGTTTTGACACTAACTGCAGCAGTTCTTTCACAGACAAATCACATTAGGACTTTTACAGATTTACTTTTGACAGAATATTGCCAAGTATTATTACAAAATTTGAATAAAACAGAGTACATTCTGGTTTTACAATTAGTCAATTAGTATTTCTACTGGACAAGCTACAGAAGGTCCTAAATATTGCCGCACAGATAATAAACCATTCTTCTAAACAGACTCACATCACGCCGGTGCTTAAACAACTGCACTGGTTACCAGTGAGGGCCAGAATACAGTTCAAGATACTTTGTCTCACTTATAAATCACTTCATGGTCAGTCTCCTCCTTACATATCTGAACTCATAAATATGTATGTTCCAGCCCGTGAACTGCGGTCACAACAGCAGAATCTCCTGACAGTACCTCCCTACAAGCTTAAGACCTTCGGTCACAGATCCTTCTCACACACTGCCTCGGTCTTGTGGAACTCTTTACCCTTTGACCTGAAGCTCGCACCAACTCTGGACTCCTTTAAAAGCCATCTCAAATGCACCTTTTCATTCAGTTCTATGATAAGGACGCATTAGGGTTTCCCTTGTCGTGTTTGGAAATCCTGGTTGCTAAGGAAACCTCATACCGCAGCAAATCATCTCGGTTAAATTTGGTAAGTGATTGGTCAAAATTGTGCATGGGTATGTAAACATGGCGGCACAGAAACAAATTACAAGTTTCATTCAGAAACAAGACTGTGCCTCGACTTGTAAACAGTCAAGTTATCAAATTGCTGTATACGAATAATGAGCGAACTGCTACTAGCATCTCTTGTTCATCTTGTCGTGAAGTCACACTCCATTAAATTACATTCAGTACTCTAAATGTACTCTTAATATTTTTCCAGTACTCCTATATTGAAAAATAAGGAGTACATACTCCTGAGTTGAAAAATTATCTAGAGCCCTGCACTGCTAGAGTCTAGCACTCTCAACAGAAATACAGGAAACCACCTGCTTGTCTGCCTTTGCCATTACATGAACATTCTTCCAACATCTGGACATTAGAATCCATCACTGCTGCACATCTCTAATATCAAAGTGAGATCACAACAGGTTCCAGCACAAATTGCACCACCATATCCATCTGTATATTAGATACACCATCTATGAAACACCAGCTGACATACAAACCTACACCTGGGTGATGTCTGCCGTTAAATCAAATAATTTGAAGTTCATACAGTCACTTGTATATGATTATTAATTTGAATTTTCGCATCAATATTTGGAGCTTTCAAATATATCATAAAATCAATCAGATTTCTCCTCATGGAAATAGACAAAATATTTCTAAAGCACTACTTGCGGACTGTGAAGTGTTTTCAGCTTGAAAAAAGCGTGTTATGATGAACTACACCATCAAAAATAATCCCTTTAAATTAAATCAACTTTTAATTTTAAAATTATGCAGGGTTAGACACGAGCCGGGTAAGCACTAAAATAAAGAAAAAAATGTTCCCTCAAATCCTAGTTATCTTACATTAACTGCTTATCTGAAATCCGCTGTGGACCAGTCTTCCGTTGATGTTTTTGCACCACACTACGAACTAGAACATTCCTCACACACAAACTATTGGGAGACATGTCATGACTTGAGGTGAAATTGGGTTTAACGTCGCGCTTGCTTGAGAATATTTCGCTCATATGACGACGTGCATGCGTGTGTATGTGTATGGTCGGCTGCTTGTACTAGCCCAGACTTAAGCTGGTTTTATAGTGCTAGCTCACTGAGATACCATGCCGCAGTGAAGCATGAATACCCTACTCAGACACATTATACTGACTCCAAGCCGACCAGTCCTTGTTGTACCCATTAATGCCGAGCGCCAGGCAGGGACCAACAAGTACCATATTTTAAAGTCTTTTGGTATGACGCGATCGGGGGCGGATGCTCTAACCACTACACCACGGAGGCTGTCGGGAGACATGTCATGACTTGAGCAGTGTCCCATCACTTTTGATCATAATGTCAGTCTTTCAGGGATGACACGTTGATATTTCATCGTTGTGGACTGGGAAACAGCACTGGACATCAGAAGGTGATATGTCAGTGTAAGAGAGCAGAGTGTCAAACATGTTTAAGATTAGATGAAAATAGATGACATGCCGTCTTGGAATGCCGCGATACATCGATACTGTTTCTAAGACAATACAATTATCCATACATTCAAAACTGTATTGATATTTAGTTTTGAAAGTATCGGTTCAAATATGTTTTTGTATCGTTTACATTTTGTAATTTATCATGTTTTTTTATGTTATGAGAGTTATAAATGATTATTTTTCATGCACAAAGAAGGGAAATTAGAACTTTTTAATCTCAGAGAATCAAAATGTTGATCTTTCATGTACAATTATAAAATATGAAATATTAATGTTCAAAATGTAACCTACGCAATAATGCCACTAAAATAGGTATCATGATACGTGTCGATTCATGAAACTTATGCATCGTTGACATCCCTAATGCCTTCACTTGCAAAAATAAAGGATGTCAAAGTGAAAGCCCTCGCCAGTAGTTGACTGGCTAAACCTGGCTGATATCATACCATTAGTTAGCAGGGTTTTAAACAGCTTTTAGCATTATTCCAGAAATATGCTTGGGATACCAAAAATAGGATTCACCAATGCGGGGATAGGAGTATGAATGAGCAGATGCTTCAACCAGTATGTTACCTCACCACACCCCACACACACACACCCGCATACTATCATCATCAGTTAGCATACATTACAGCGTCAGAAAATAAGTAATACCCGCCATGGTACTGGAAGCAAAATCGTCAAAACAGGGTTGGTTCCACTAACCTGAATTTGTATTTTGGGATTTCTTTCAGCAGATGCAACAGTTGGTACACAACCCATTATGTTGGGCAGCCCATCACGCATTCTTAACTTGAAACACATGGATGACCACGAACACCCAAGAGCAAATATGTTCCAAATTATACAGAAGGGTGTATTGACGTCAATACAGTGTGACATATTGCAAAAAAGTGCCTCTGATCTTTTAGCGAAGCATCTGAATGTCTGTGGTAACTCGGCGTATTGAGACTGAAATGCTTGAAATGTATAATGAATGAATGTTTGAAAGGTATAATGAATGCATATTTGAAATGTATAAGATATGAATGGTTTTGCTTTGTGAAAGAAGAGAGCTAACGGGCAGATTGTTATCACAGGGCTGAATAAATTATCATAAAAATAAATCTTGTGTTGTTTAATACAGTGTTTACTGGTTATTGCAATCCTGTTTCAGCCATGAATTACATGGGTACGGGTAATCAATCCAGGGTTTGAATTGTCCAAAATCTGGGTACAAGTTGTCCAAATTTGGGTACAGGTCATCCTGAACCAGTCCCAGATGTCCAATATGGGTACAAATCTGGCGATAATTTAAAGTGTGATTACTGTTAGGTACAAACATTTGTGTATGCGGCTCATTTAGTATCCCAAAGTCTAAAAAAATCTTAACCACAAAACATTTACTCGACTGGGGCTACTGAATTATTAGATGTTGATGTGTATGAAGATGCATGAAAAGTATGTGGATGAAAACAATTTACATAACACATCATTAAACTTTATGACCACACAAAATACAGTGTCTAATTTCTCAGGAATAGGTTTATAAACAATAAAATAATCAACTTAAGTAGCCGTTATTGGACATTGGTCACCCATGAAACTCCAACATAAGTCAGATGTCCCCATTAACACTGTTTGTGACATATTCATCTTTAACATCAAACAGTGCATAACAAACCATCCAAGGAAAAACTCAAGATGCCTAACTTTATGATTGTCAGCTGATTTGCATAATACCTTAGTCATTGATACATCACCAAAATGAAAAAGACAGGTATATGTAAGATGAGAAATATTGACTTCATGGAGACAAAGTCCAAGTAGTCAGACATCCTAATTTGACCTTCCCCAACAGCTGAGACTGAGTGAACAAAGCACTTTGATCCCTCATAACTAACAGTATATATGACCCTATTTGTGACTCACAGCTGTCCACTCCAAGATATATTAGTCAACCAACTGTTATGAAAGCATATATATATAAGTCTACATACGTTTTCAAACAAGTATCCACTGCATATTCACAAGATCGACTGTCCCTGTTGACTTATTCGACTTTTTAGCCTCAAATATGCGCTTAGTTAGAATTAATTGATCATACCTTAGACTCAACTCGTAAACTTCCACTTTGTTTACATCGGGGTTACTTACACACAAGCGGACAAAAAATTACGTTAGATATACGCCATTTTTCAACATTTCAAGTTATAAATACCACGTACAAGTAACGATAGTGACATAATTCTGTAGGAAAGGTGAGGGAAGGAAAGTACATGTATCCTGCTTTATCAAACCAGCTAAACTAGCTGGGTCGTTGCGTTGGCAGAGAAATAAACACTACAGAGGAAAATACCGTTCACACAAAAACTACCCGCCCAAATTACACAAAAATAACTTAAAAACATACATTGGTCGATTCTCTTTCTAATGGATTCAGCAATCAGCGAAAATGCAGCCCCAGTGATACTGTATTTCATCCAAATAGACAATACAAAATATTGTTTTGCTTTCTCACCCAGTCCAAGATGGCGACCGAATAATCGTCTGAACAGAAATGTCTCCTTTCGTCGCTCAAATATCCTCCTTAAACGCGCTTCATTGGCAAAATATTGGTTCGTAAGTCTTGGTAGGGTCTTTTTCTTGGACTAACGGTCAGTATTTACCTGGTGGACTCGAGTTTTAACTGCGTACCAAACCTTTTCTGTTGCCTACGTGTGAACCCAGCTCAAAGTCACAGTGTCACGATTCCTGATTATTCTAGTCACATGACCTCCATTCCAAGCCGTTGATTGGCTGAAACATACATGACCCCAAATTGCGACCTCTCTTGTGACGTCACAAACAGATGACTAGTTGCTTGATAGTTCCCGTTACCAAATGAACTTTTCCTCTTAACAAAGGAAACAAGTAATGAAAACAATGAACCGGAACAAACGTTAATAACTTTCTAAAATATTAACGTTTTCAAATACTAAGTGAACGGATCATAAGATAAGATTTTACAATAATAAAAAACCCCGATGTATTTAGAAGTTGCCACACCCACCTCATAACAAGCTTCCGTAATTGTGTAATGTCCCCCATCCCATGTACTCACCATGCGTAATGATGATGACACACTTCAAAATAAATCAGATCTTCATTCGTCATCTTATCATTTATACCAGTGTCTTTTTAAACACACGCTGAAAATAAATTGTTTTCACCGATTGTTTAATATGTCATGAAGGTGGTTTCTATTTTCCTGTGCCAATGATAATATTTTGTGATATATATTTGCCTTGCCAAGCAATTAACACGGGTATATTAACAATGTAATAAGGACCATATAATCTCTTCAGGGCACCGGCTTTAGACAACAGATGCAGTAACAGCATTGTCTGAGCGTTTTCATTACTGTTACTTGAACTCGACCGCTGTGAGCGCAACATATCCCCATCCATACATCGTTTAATTCAAAATGAACGTCATGAAAAATCCGATCTGACGAACCTACTGACAATTATTGATTTAACGAAAGCTAGCGTCAGCACACGTCCACGGTCAGCTAAAATAGAATTCATCAGATACAATAGGTTCTTTTAATACATGTGAAAAGAAATCCATCGCCGTCCTTCATGAACATGCTTGGTAGCACAAGAACTAACTGCTAGTATTTGGGTAACAAAGAGAGAAATTGTTTCCCTAGAGAGAGAGAGAGAGAGAGAGAGAGAGAGAGAGAGAGAGGTTTTGTTTTATTAAAGTCTACACACACAGCAATGATGATGATAATGATGATGATGTTTTTTATTTGACAGGTATACGTGTCGCTTCACGTATTATGTCCGTGTTTTATGATTTTTTATGTTTATTATTATTTGTCATGTTTGTGATGTTTATTGTTGTACACGAGATAATGATGTTTATTATGTTAATTGTGTTTATGATGTTTTTACGCTCATGATGTTCCTGATGTTAATTGTGGTTGATTCTTGTGATTCAGAGTGTTGATGTTGGGGATGTTCAGAGTGTTCACGATGTTGGGGATGTTCAGAGTGTTCACGATGTTGGGGATGTTCATGTTTATAGTGATTATGGTGTTCATGATGTTCCTGGTGTTTGCGATGGTCATCCTGTTCCTGGTATTTAGGATTGGGTTTGGTTGTTGTATAACGCAGCACTCCTCAATATTCCAGCTATATGGCGGCGGTCTGCAAATAATCGAGTATGTACCAGACAATCAGGTGATCAACCACATGAGCATCGATCTACGCAACTGGGATACGATGACATGTGTCAACCATGTCAGCGAGCCTGATCACCCGATCCCTTTAGTCGCCTCTTACGACAAGCATGGGTTACTGAAGATCAATTCTAACCCGGATCTTCACGAGTGGTGTTCAGAATGTTTGTGACGTAGGTGATGTTTATGATGTTTAAGATGTTTTTCAAGCTGACCGATGATGCCCACGAGGCCATGCCGGAGGCTACAGACTGTAATCTACCAGGCATGACGTAATCCCCTCCCATAATTCTTACCCCGTATTAATACTAAAGTCTCGTCTATCGTAAATTTACCCTGAGTTAAACACATAAAATAACATTGATATTTAACCGTTCGAAAGTCGCCGGAATTAACATGCGCATAAGAAATAAACACGCGGATAGGGATTATCTGTCGTTAATCCGCCCGCGTCTTACACAAACTCTGCCAGTCACGTTGTCACAACGGTCTCCCCAAGCCAGCGGCGAAGTCTGTATCATCCGGGAGTTCAATTTATTCACACGTTTTAATGTCTTCTGAATACGTACAAGCGACAGTGTTAATTACGCGCATGCGCTGAATGGCCCCTAATTTGATCGACCTCTTGACCGACATTAATTGCATGGCAGGCAATAAGCTCCGCGGTCAGCACGTGTTGGACCGATATTGAATAAATACACAAAGGTCATCTTCCGGGTTGGACTGACCGCTGTCATCACCCGCAGACAGAAACATGACATAGTGAGTGAGTGAGTTGGGTTTTACGCCGCTTTTAGTACTATTGATCTCACGGCGGGGGTCACCAGAAACGGGCTTCACACATTGTACCCATGTGGGGAATCGAACCCGGGTCATCGGTGGGACGAGCGAGCCATTAGGCCACCCCACCGTCCCTATGACATGGAAATAGAAACATAGACATGTATATCATAAATTGTAACTATGTATTTTTTCTAATTGAAAATGATACTGTAATTAAGAAATATGTATTTTAAGGAACTCCTTTAACTTTGCAATTATAATGGACATATGCATATGTGCATACGTAGCCTTGTCGCTATATGGCTGAAATAATGCCGATGCGATGTAATACTCGTTAGAATGTATTATATTTCGTGAGAAAGAAGGGGGGAGGGGGTGTTTTGGGGGATCGAAGGTAGATTTTGTTGTATTTCACGTCTATCACGTGGTGTATAATTCAAACTTGACCAGAGTACAAAGGAACGCATTTTACAGCTGGCCTTAGAGTCAAAGAATGTCGAGAAAATTAGAGCATGAGAAGCAGATCATGCCCAGCCAAAAGGGAAGTAACTTTGCACCACTTTGTGGCAAAATATGGTGCCAACAGATACATTTGAAGCCATCTGGCATGGTCATGTCTTCATGTGCGCCTCCCACACATACAGCTGATTCGGTTAAATTTCCAGAATCAATAATCTATTTAAATGTTAGGGGTTTTCCCGCTAGTGCCAACTTTCGGTTTGGACCAGTGCATGTCTGAAGAAATATTTATGAAGAAAGCGATGCGTGTACCTGTTTGGTAAAAACTCATCATCATCATCATCATCATCATCATTATCAGCAGCATCATACTTTGTGTATCAGTTTGTAAGGGACCGTTCCAGTATGACTAGGGGGTGATGATGACTTTAAGGGGGGTCGACCATATTGTTCTGGGGAGGTAGATGGGGTGAGCAATTTTGTACACAAACTAGTGGAAGGGAGTGGGGGGTGTATGGGTGTGTGTCGGGATCAGCAATTTTGGTCATCAAAATATTAAAATATGATGGTTAAAAATTATGGGATTTTGTACAGGAAATGCAGGGGGTAACTTACTTTGTACGTAAATTTTAGTTGGTGGTGGGGGGCATTGACATTGTACATGCTTCCCTATAAATATCATCTCCATATATAAAAACCACTCTCCTCCATATGCCCTTGTGCAGACGCATGCACGCCATTAGTCCAGAAACAAACCGTGTCTATGCATAAACTACATGGCCTGATAAAGACCCGATTTCCCTTCCGTCAGTCTATAAGTGCGTGGCGGGGATCCACACGGTTAAAGGATGTCTGGTTTACTGTCCTGAGTGTTCTTCCTTTCCTTCACGCTAAACGCTTGGTTTCCAATAAAAGACGTCTTTTCTTTAAAAAGAATTACGGTCTGACACGTGTTTGAATTCGGGAAGATATGTTTCAAAGCTTCAAATTTAAGGTTTCAAGTAGGGTCTAAAATAGATGGTAGATTTTATATTTGAAATTTGAAAATTTAAATTAAATTTAAAATGTACCTAATAATGGATAATGATGTTTGGTGAGATTTTACGTCGTAACAACACCATTTCAACCATATATTTCAACGAGACCAATATGACACATACTGTATTTCCACTAATATACGCCTGGGCGCTTATTTTTTCAGCGGACTTCCAGACCCGGCGCTTATTAGAGGTGGGGTGGGTATTGCAGAGAATTTTCATATTGCGATATATTGCGATGCAAAAGCATGTATTGAGATGTGTATTGCAATATATTGCAAGATGTTTTTATTAACAAAAAAATACTTATAATCGAGTTAATGTTTGATTTATAAAGCAAAACCACAACAAAATCACTATGCTTGATTCACCTTAATAAAAACATTTTATGACGACAAAGTAAAAATGTAAATAATATTTGGCACAAATGAAACAAGGAAAAGAACTTAACAATCCAGTTAAATGTAATTTTCACCACGATCATTCCTACCACCCTTACCATAATTTCCACAATCATCAAGATTACCGAGTGTTACGAAGGTTTTCCGAATGCATGTCAAACTACCGGTTTTCGATCGGCGTATCGCAATACGTATCGTTTTCATGTGTGAACCGGTAAATATCGGTAAACCGGTTATATTGCGCAGCCCTAATTAGAAGCCCGGTGCTTTTGCGCTTACTGGGTGTCATTACCGTAATTGTTAGTGAGCTGCTGTATCTTCGGCGCTTATTAGGGGAAATACGGTATACGCAACTCCACCACTAACGCAAACTCCTCATACACGCCCCAATGTCACAATGTGTTTACAATTTGAAAGAATGGGCTACGTCAAGGCTATTTACAATCCGGAACACAGGCCAAAGCCCAAATATGAAGAAACAACAACGGAGGGTGAAGCATGTAGAAGAAGAAATACTGTATTGTTGGGAGGGCACGTTTTGACAGACACAGATGCTTTGCATGACCACAAAGCAGCTGATATATGAACACATTTTACTATGAACTGATTACGTCAGAAGTCGTCATTGGGAACTACGGTCGTTCAACAGCGTGACGGCGAATGTGTTGATCCGCCTTGCTATAAATAGATCCGACCAGTCCATTCTTGATGACGCGAGGCTATAAATAGATTTGTAGTTTTTTGTATCGCAGCGGCCGCTTGTGAGACTTGTTTACGGTATGTGTATTTCTAGAGGTGATAGAATCCAGTCCAGGTGGACATAGCGGCTAGGATAAGCGGCAGTGTGACAGCATATTTATATCTGTATCTGCAAGGGATTAGTGATAGAGGGCACATATCTCTGTCTGTCTGTCTGTCACACATGGATGGATGGATGAACGGTCGGACGGTCGGACAGAGATGAACGGACGATCTGACAGATAGATTGCCTGAATCACTGGATTATTGATGATGGCGGTGTAAACAACAATCAAACAAGCTTACAATATTTACTTAAGTGGTCCAGACTCGATTATTTACAGATCACCGTTCTATAGCACGAATATTGGTGCACAATACTTATTTCTCTTTGTCCCACATCTACCTGTCTAAACGCTGCTTGATCCCTTCTGGGGGAGGAGGGATAGCCAGGTAGATCAAGCGTTCACTCGTCTCGCCGAAGATGTAGGTTCGATTCTCCACATGGGTACATTGTGTGAAGCCCATTTCTGGTGTCCCCGCTGTGGTGTTGCTGGGATATGGCTAAAAGCGGCGTAAAACTAAACTCACTCACTTCATCTCTTCTAAACATTTTATAATCAAAACAAAATGTATCAGTTAACTTGTAACATCGGAAACAGAGTCCAGTAGTTTCTAATCCACCCAGAGTCATGTCCGACAAGAAACTATGTAGTTCAACCCATTTTCTGAAGTAAAAGGGTCGGCGGGGTAGCCTAGTGGTTAAAGCGTTCGCTCCTCACGCCGAAGGCCCGAGTTCGATTCCCCACATGGGCACAATGTGTAAGCTCATTTCTGGTGTCCCCTGTCGTAATATTGCTGGAATATTGCTAAAAGCGGCGTAAAGCTAAACTGCCTCACTCTGAATTCAAGCTATCGTGTTTCTGAAACGGATCCGCCGTGCACGCAGTTACCGCTGGCGTCCCGTAATCTCCATGGGAGAAGTACGTGCCGCGAAGTATTTACTTGAGTAGGGTTACATTATTCATGCTGTGTCGTTACCGAAACACCGTCGCTTCCTCCCCCAGAAACAGACCCGGGTGTGCTTGCTGGCCACTGGTTACGGCTGTGAGTCCATTCTGAATGTAACACGCACGAAGTTAAGTCCCTTCGAGATTCCATATGTGCGTCATGCGAGTTCCGATTTTTTAAGAACTACATTTGAGACCAACGCGTTATTCCGGGACAGGCAGGATAACGCCTTCTCGGGAGTTACGGGTAGAATACACTCGTTCGTGACCAACTCGTGCTATGCCGGGACCATCCACAGGGGTCTTCTTGCAGCATTCACCACTACTCGTCCCTTTCCGTAAGCCCCAAGAATAGCTATTGGGTTTGTCCCGAAATAACATGTGAGTTACGATGTGACGAATGTTCTTGCAGAGTACGGAAAGGGTCGAGCAGTTCCTTTTGTCACCACTCGCCCCTTTCCGTAACCTGCAAGAACATTTTTAACACACTAGTGATTTTTCCGGGCAAAGCCGAATATAACCGATAGTCGGTCCGTAAAAGTACGAGATGTGGAACCTACAAACAACAAATAAATGTTCCGTATTTAACAAACTGTATTCTAAAAATAACTAAATTCACAAATGACTCCAAGACAGACTACAAATTCAGAGATACTTTAATTTTCACTTGTCAGCAACAGTTATCCAACTTTCAAAAGTGGCCAATGAATATACTAGTGTAATGATCATTACACAGAACGGCAACGCTGGTCTTCTTGTAACCTGAAATGTTTTATAAGATGAGAGGCAATAGCCTGCTCCCCGCATACACACAACAACAAAGTCTTGACATTTCTACCTCTCTGATCATGAGGTAATAGACCCTGGAACCAGCGCCATGTAGTACTTTCCAGATCTTTCTTCTAAATCAAGTACAAGTCTAAATATAGCACACCACAGCCCCTTTTCTCAGTATACACATACAACGAATTACACAGGGAACATTGTTAACACTGCCATACAGCATATCATTCCCCTGTCATTTACCCAAAGTCTTGAAATATCTACAATACTCTCTGAGGTAGCAGACCCTCGGACCAGAATGCCACTCAGACAAATTATGTGGTATTTTCCAGATCTTTCGTTCTAAATCTAGTACAATCTAAATATAGCACACCACTGGCCCCTGTACTGTACAACGCATTACACATGGAACAATGTCACATTATAAATAATTAATATCACTGCCACATGTCATTTCCGTGTCATCTACGCTTGCCTTCTTAATGTTTAGTGACTTATCCATACATATGCAAATGACAATTTTGATACGCGCTTTATTACAAGATTCCCCACCTAATTTCATTGACACCCCTGTTATTAACATGCAAGTAACTAATACAGACGTGAGAGTCTACCCCTGTTGGACTTGACGTATGAAGGCATCTTGTAACTGTTTCTATTTTTATGAATGTCTTTCCAGGTATATTCTTTGGGCATCACGAGAGACCAACAGTGCTATAACGGGGACGTACGTTACGTGTCGTAATCACCGCTCTTTCCCTGACCACAATTGTCACCAACGTTGAAAGGAAAACGAACTGCTTCAGTTGCATGGCTACACAGACAAAGTTTTATTTCTCCAGCTCAACTCGAAAATCTAATGTTGTTAGAATCTGAATAGCCTAATTCGGTCTAAATATAACAACAAAGATATACCGATATTTAGGCACGGGTGTCGTAAACATAGTATGATATGGACACAAATATAATATTCTGTTTAGAAGTCGTCAAATTGAGAAAAATAAACCCAATCTACTTTCAAACACAGGCTGGCTACCCACCGTCTCTGCACGAAGAATGCAACGTCACAGAAGAAACGTGACGTCATAGCATTGTTCATGACGTCACGTCACAATGATAAAGTGATATTTTGCCCTTGGGCATCGTACGAAAAATATGAACCCCGATATTTTTTAGCCCACGTAGAAAATATATGATTATATGATAATAATTATATGTAATATGTCTACAGGAATACAATTTTGAACAAAACCAAAAAAATAAATAATTATTTATTAATCAATGGCTTCAATTTGTCCATTGTCATTACAAATCAGCGCATTTAACTGTTGGCTATTTAATAACTGTTGTTGCTTCACGGGTACTTTGTATTTTTTTTCATTCCCCTGATGAAGGAGTAGTGATATACCATATTTCCTCTAATAAGCGCCGGAGTTATGCAGCTCACTAAAAATTATGGTAATTAGACCTAAAAGCGCAAAAGCGCCGGGCCTCTAATAAGCGCCGGGTCAGGGACTCCATTGAAAAAATAAGCGCCCGGGCGTATATTAGAGGAAATCCGGTACTCCGAAACTTATGTTCTTCTAAATAAACCTAAAAGATCTGTTCTCACGCGTGAGCGCCCATCTGATACTGAACTACCTGAGGGAAGTTGATCCGTATCATAAATTGTAACTGTGAAATGTAACAACCATAAATTGTAACTATGAAATGTAACAAACCGCCTGTCTTTAAATTTGATGCTATGACTTTTTCTGCTTTTGAATGACAATGTAATCAATAAATGTCTTTGAAACAAAACTCATTCCGAGTATGTACTTACAATATTTACTAATGCAAACTTGTTCCCGTCACTATATGGCTGGAAAAATGCCGATGTGACGAAAAGCTCAACTCAACTCAACTCAACTAAATAAAGAAGTTGAGATCAATAAATTCTGGCCTTTATGTGTATCACTTTTAAATGCCGTTAAAAGACTTTAAATAACTATTTTTATTCTATAATTGTTTTCACGCCGTATTTTGTAACCCCAGGCCTCAGTATTTTGTAACATGCGTTACATTTGGATGACACTTTCTCAGTAAAGTTCAGACTAGGCGCCTGTACATAAACTTAGAGCGCCAAGCTTGCCATGCGTTTAACAGTGGAACCAGTTTAGAGCTCGCTGGACTTGAGAATTATTTCCCTTGTTGTGTTCGTTTGTAAACTCAATAGGTATTGGTTAATTCTTGAACCGCTAGCCAATCAAATGTACAGTTATATAACTAACCCGCACACGCCATTTTGATCGTGTACTTAGCGGATTTTCGCGTGTTCAAGAACTGTGTTTTCAATAGAGGTACTCCATATTTTGTTGTATTGATGACTGTATTTGAATATAATAAATATGTGTCTGGTTGTCAAAGCAATTTCTAATGGCTACAGCTCAATGTCAATTCAAAACCCCCAAATCGAAAAGGAAAATATTCGTAGTTGATAAGCCAATGTTTGATTAACTTAAAATATTTCGGTGAAAATCCATGATGTAATCATCTTTCACATTTACGATAAATTCAACTTATTATCAAATGTAGTGTTAATCGATAGGTTCTGCGTGTTCTGGAACTGACGCTAGACGGTGGACACCGGATATTAAGACACGCCACATTTACCACCGCAAGCACGAAAGTGCCACATTGTTTAGCCAAACGTACATACACGTGAATATACGTCCGTGGTTTAGCTGACATTTTATGCAACACGGAACATTTCTGTAAAAGGAAAAATGACAAAGGTGTTTTGTTGTTCACTGAGCAAAGAGAATTGGCATGTCATATGTCAATGGAAGAACCACAGATGTATTGTTGATAGTCTGGTCTATGGATATAATCAATACTGCATCCCCTAAACCCAAGTCCAACCTTTTCCTACATAAATGAAACACATAAATAATGCAGGACTTACGCTCAGTTTTGCCTTCAATTATCGTCTACTGTCATGTTTTGCATTGAGGTGTGCTTAAGTTTACTTTAGGTACCGTTCATAATATATGGTTAGTGGGGGTGATGGTGATTTTTATGGGAAGGCATGTACAAAAAATAAATAAAAAAATAAAATAATAATACTAATAATTTATGTACAAAATTAACAAACCCCCCTCCTGCAGAACAAAATGGTAACCCCCCTTGAAATAATAAAAAAACATCCCAAAACACACACACACAGCCCTCCCCCCCCCAAGCCATAAGTTATGAACGGTCCCTTAATGACACTTAAAGTGTTTGGTTACAACAGTTGTGTTTGTGAATAATAAGTCTGAAAATATAATGTATCAACTGCATAAGGGCAGTAATTTCTTACACAACCTCATAATTTCTCTCTGTAATGCAGAAGTTATTTCTTGTCAAACACCGACTTCAATCCTACTTTCTATGTTATCATTCTCAATGGTTTACCATTTTCATACATGATGGAGAAGAGCATAGAATTCACACATAAAACAGATGGCTAAAGTACTGTCACTAAAGCCAAATTATTTATTGATATCACATGTTTTGTTTCAGAGATGTCTCTGTCAAGAAGAGAGTATGATGATCTGAAGTCTGTCTTGGACAAGACCGTGCACAAGTTCCTGGGTTTCAGTGAACCCACGTTGGTGTCGGCTGCCTTGGACTGTATTGACCGAGGTTATGACAGGAAGAAGACAGTGGGTGAGTGAACTTCAGGCGTTGATCTTCACAGTCGGTTGTCTTCATTCCACCAGTTTTAAATATTGACCTTCAACGGCCCATGCTTGTAAGAGGTGAGACCTGTGAAGACTCGGGTTAGAATTGGTCTTCAGCAACCCATGCTTGTCGTAAGAGGGGACTAACTGGATCAGGTGATCAGGCTTGGTTGACACATGTCATCGTATCCTGCGATCATGGGTGATCACTGAATTGCTGGTGACTTGGTTGACACCATATAGTCATTGCGAGTGAGGTGTAAAACTAAACTCACTAACTATAATCCTGACTTGGTTGACACATGTCATCGTGAGTGTTCCTTCAGTAGATTAGTTGATAATAGTCAACATTCAAACATTTAGTATATTCAAGATGAAGTTTAGAACCAAGTGTGTGCTTGCTGACAGGAAGTTGGTGTCACATACTCTGTTAGAAAGGGGAGCGGTGGTGAAGTCAAGTGGTTTAAATGTCCACTCGTCACGCCGAAGACCTGGGTTCGATTCCCCACATGGATACAATGTTTGAAGCCCATTTCTGGTGTACCTCACCGTGATATTACTGGAATATTGCTAAAAGTGGCGTACAACCATTCTCGCTCGCTCCATCACTCACTCTGTTTTTGAGGAGCTTTGCAGGTTAGAATAGGTATTCCCAGGGTTTTACTTTGACTAACAAAATTACAGGTCTACAGGACCCCCACTTATTACTTTTATGAGTGAAATATGAGGGTACGGTTAGGTTTGGTGATTACTTTATGTACATGAGCTTCATTATTCTTATCACGCATATCGTAACTAGTCAATACTAGTAAAACTGAACTCACTCACCCAGATTGGCATCCTTTAAGCCCAGCTTGGTGTACAGTACTGGAGTTGTTTAGTTTTGCGGCATAAACCTAAACTCAGTCAGTCAGTTATCATGCATTTCGAACGGTCAATACTAGTAAAACTTAATTCTCTCACCCAGATTGGCATCCTTCATACAGCTTGTACAGTACTGAGTTGTTTATTTTTGCAACATACTGAATATTACTGGTTGGATGTCTCGTCTACTGGTTACATGTAAACCATTCTGCTTACATGCATGCCTACTGGTTACAAAGCCTACTGCTTACATGCTATGCCTACTGGTTGCGTGCCACGTCTACTGGTTACATGTCAAGCCTACTGCTTACATGCCATGTCTACTGTTACATGTCAAGCCTACATGTTACATGCCACACCCACTAATCATCATCATCATCATCATCAGATTGAAATAGATAAATGCTGAAGAGAAGGTTCAGTGCTTCAGCCAGGCAAGCACCATTGTGCCATTGACACTAACAAATATGCAGTGGCACTTGTTATCCCTCGCAACCGTTTTGTGGGGGGTATTAAAATGGACTCGTCCGTCCGTCCGTCCGTGCACTTTTGTCTTTTCCGGAGCAGAACTCTAAAACCGTTCTCTATTTCTTCACCAGACTTGGCACATAGATAGATCTGGTGGTGTACTGGAGCCTTTTGGTAGTTTTGGAATTCTGAATAACATATTTTTAGCGTTTCCATGGCAAGCTTGACTTAGACTGAAATTGGTGGTAGTCCTCTTTTCCGGAGCAAAACTCTAAAACCGTTCATTATTTCTTCACCAAACTTGGCACATAGATTGGTCTGGCGGTGTACTGGTGCCTTTTGGTAGTTCTGGATTTCTGAATAATATATTTAGGCATTTCCATGGCAACAAGCTTGACTAAAACAGAAATTAGTGGTAGTGCTCTTTTCCCGGATCAGAACTCTAAAACCGTTCAATGTTTCTTCACCAAACTTGGCACATGCATATATCTGGTTGTGTACTGGTCCCTTTTGGTAGTTTTGGAATTCTGAATAAAATATGTTGGCTTTTCCATGGCAACAAGTTATACTTTGACTGGAATTGGTGATAGTGCTATTTTCTGGAGCAGAACTTTAAAGACCTTTCAATACTCTCCTTCCACTTTTCTATATACACACCTAAATATTTGACATAATCATAACTCGTAGACATAATCATGAAGAGTATTTTGCTATTGAGGGGGATATTGATGACTTCGTCTTCTTGTTTTCAATGCTAGAGCGTACCCATTGGCACAACATTTAATATAATCCACTGGTCTTCTATACCATGGTTACGATGAATGGTAAAAGTCTCAACTCCATTGGCACTCATTTTAGTGGTTAAGGTGCCAATTGGCAACACTCCAAAAAATCCTGGCTGAAGCACTGAAGGTTCCGACAATATTTAGTTGTTGTTGTTGATGCAGTACATGTTGTTTCCAGACAAGCTGACAGCCATGCTGGACACCGGTCAAGCCAGCAAGTTTGTGGACAAAGTGTTCAGCGTGTGGGAAGACTACAGGTCCAGCAACAAACATGGCCGCACCAAGAAGAGAAAGGTTAGTATGGGGAACTGAATTTGTCCAGCTCTTTTGAACTGTCAGTTAGAATTTTATCGTTGATCATGTTATGAATTGTTCTCGATAGCCCATTTAAAAAAATATATTGCTGTGGGACATGGAGTTTTTCTCTATTTTTCACAGTTTTCAGTGTACATGGTCTTGTTTTAAAACAGGCAATGTAAGAAGAGAACCAGGGTCCTGATTAGGGCTGCGCAATATAACCAGTTTACTGGTATTTACCGGTTCAGACATGAAATCGATACGTATTGCAATCAAAAACCGGTATTTCGACATGCATTCGGAAAACATCGTAACACTTGGAAATCTGGAAGTTAAGTTCGGTTTGAAGTTGTGTTTGAAGTTGGTTCAAATGTTTCGCAAAGTTTTGGATCTGAATGTTTTAAATCTCAGGGCTTTTTTGAGAGTGGAGAAACAAGTTCAAACTGGTAACCACTGTGTTGATGTTAAATCGTTCTAGTCCTTGTTTCCTCATGATTACAAGTTTTTATTTAAGCTTAATCAAGCTTAGTGATTTTGTTGTGTTTTAACTCGATCATAAGTAGTTTTTTGTTTAAAAAAAACTTCTTGCAATATATTGCAATACATATCACAATATATGCTTTCGCATTGCAATATATCGCAATATGAATATTCTCTGCAATACCCACCCCTAGTCCTGATTCACAAAGCATCCGTAACATTGCAACCAGTTTAGTTTATCATTGGCTTAAGAATGCCATAGCGCTATAAACGTTTTGTGGATCAGCAAGCAGATATGCCAAATAGTCAGTATTTAATTTCCTCATTACATGACTGTATGTAGTGTCTCTGATGTATAGTCTTGAGTACTGAAGGTCCCATTGAAAAGGGTGAACACTGATTAAGGCATTGATGTTTCTTCATTGTATATTGGAGATTTGTTATGTGAGATCACAAGATAGCATACAAGTGCTACGTGGATGTATGGCTCCCTGAAAGCTTTTTGCGTGGTAGTTATGTGTAGTTGTTTGGAATGAAGACAAGTCACAAAATGAGCTACGGTTGTACTGCTAAGCCAGGGTTGAGTCTCACGAAGCACTTTGACTGTCGTAACGCCAGTACTTCATTATGGACTTATGCTAGTCCTAACTTCAGTACTTCAGCATAGACTTCCGACAGTCATACTTCCATTACTTCAGCATATACTTACGAGTCGTAACTTCATTGCTTCAGCATAGACTTACGCCAGTCGTGACTCCAGTATTTCAGCATATACTTACGACTGTCGTAACTCCATTACTTCAGCATAGACTTTGCGATGTCGTAACTCCATTACTTCAGCATATACATACAAGTTGTAACTTCATTACTTCAGCATAGACATACGACTGTCGTAACTCCATTACTTCAGCATATTCTTGCGATAGTCGTAACTCAGTACTTCAGCATATACTTATAACAGTCATGTAACGACGTTTTTGAAGCAGGACCCTGATCACTTATAGAAACTTCCAATGTTTTAAATGTCAGGGCCTAGATTTTAAGCTCTCTTAGCTAAGATAGTAAAGTAGGTGCCATACCCTAACATCATCTTACGACTATCTTAGCTCTAAGAGAGCTTCGAAAATCTAGGCCCAGGATGATGTTTGAAATAACTGGAGCATACCCAGCATCCCTTGTCTGTATCTGCGATCACAAAATATCATCATTCAAGATGACAGTCAACTACACTGTCAACAATAATTTAAACAATGAATAATTTGTCTCTTCCACTGATAAGGATTGTTTTTATTTTGTGTTATCTCAAGAGTGATCTGATATGTTGCCATGGTTACAGGATGATGAGAAGGAGGAAGGTACGGAGCGAGTGAAGAAGAGACGGTTTGCTGACGACACAGCAAGTGTGATTCCTGGCCCTGGCCAGCCAAGTCCTGGTCAGCTGACGGCAGATAAAGTGGGTACATGCATGCATAGGTGTCTGGTGTGATGCGTACATAGGTGTCTGGTGTGATGCGTAGATAGGTGTCTGGTGTCATGCGTAGATAGGTGTCTGGTGTCATGCATACATAGGTGTCTGGCATTATGTACATATGTCATGCGTGCATAGGTGTCTGGCGTCATGCGTGCATAGGTGTCTGGTGTCATGCGTGCTTAGGTGTCTTGTGTCATGCATACATAGGTGTCTGGCATTATGTGTACATAGGTGTCTGGCGTCATGCGTACATAGGTGTCTGGCATTATGTGTACATAGGTGTCTGGTGTCATGCATACATAGGTGTCTGGTGTCATGCATACATAGGTGTCTGGCATTATGTACATAGGTGTCTGGTGTCATGCATACATAGGTGTCTGGCATCATGCATACATAGGTGACTGGCATCATGCGTATATAGGTGTCTGGTGTCGATGCACGTAGGTGTCTGACATCATGCATACATAGGTGTCTGGTGTCATGCATACATAGGTGTCTGGTGTCATGTGAACATAGGTGTCTGACATGAATACATAGGTGTCTGGGGTCATGTAAACAAAGGGTGTCTGACATCATGAATACATAGGTGTCTTGGTGTCATGTGAACATAGGTGTCTGATACATAGGTGTCTGGTGTCGGCATGAACATAGGTGTCTGATGACTTGCATACATAGGTGTCTGGTGACCAGCAAAGGCAGGTGTCTGGCGTCATGAATACATAAGTGTCTGGCGTCATGAATACATTAGTGTCTGGCGTCATGAATACATTAGCATGAATACATAAGTGTCTGGCGTCATGAATGCATAAGTGTCTGGCGTCATGAATACATAAGTGTCTGGCGTCATGAATACATAAGTGTCTGGCGTCATGAATACATAAGTGTCTGGCGTCATGAATACATAAGTGTCTGGCGTCATGAATACATAAGTGTCTGGCGTCATGAATACATAAGTGTCTGGCGTCATGAATACATAAGTGTCTGGCGTCATGAATACATAAGTGTCTGGCGTCATGAATACATAAGTGTCTGGTGACAAGCATAGACAGGTGTCTGGCGTCAAGCATAGGTGTCTGATATCTGTTAAGTGTTACAGTAACAAACAAAGCGAGGTCATAAATAACATCAACATCAGATGTTGACCCAAATGGAATAAGATGATCTATCATGATTCATAAACTGTTCAGTGTAAATTACCCTTCAAATAAACTTTGACTATATGCAGGGCTCGATTTAGTGCTTTGTTACTTGCCACTGGTGCAACCCAATATTACAAAGTGCAACCTAGTTATTAGTCTTAACTTGCACAAGGTGCAAGTCAATTTTAGAGTGGGTAAACTACTGAATAAAACATCTAAATAATTGCATCTACATATTGCAATAAAAGCAGTGCAACTGAAATTGGCTGGTGCAACTAGTTTTTATCCCCCACCGCGCGATTAGTGCGAAGCAGGGGATATAGTATTAGGCTCTGTTCGTCCGTCCGTTTGCACGAATTGCAATATCTTAAGAACCGTTGACTGGATTCTTTTCATATTTGGTACCTAGGTTCATCACAGTAAAAGAAAGGTCCCAGTCAGGTTTGGTGACTTTGACCTTCATTTTAAGGTCATAAGGGGACTTTTAATGTTTTACCCTTGTCAGCTTGAGATATCTCAAGAACCGTTCACTAGATTTTCTTCATATACAACACCAAGCTTTATCTAGGGAAGGCGAGGGGCCCAGTCGATTCGGTGACCCTCACCTTATTTTTCAAGGTCATGGCTTACACTTTGAAGATTTCAGTATGTTAAGCTGCATGTTAAGCTTGTCAGTCGAGATACCTCAAGAACCGTTGACTGGATTTTCTTCATATTCTGACATCAATCGATTTTGAAGTGACCTTCACATAAAGCTTCATCAAGAGAAGGTGCAGGGGATGTCATGTTACATGCCATGTTCCTGATGATTCTTGCATGTATCATGATGGAGACTGATAGTAAAATTCCACCCATAATGTAACTGTTTCAACATTCCTACCAGAAGCCTACCTGCTAGTTTAATGCAGAATACAGATTTCCAACTCTGTCACACAGATCAAAGACATGATGATGAATGCCCAGAAGATGATTCAAGAGAGGAAAGCACAGATCCAGGCAACGATGCCCCCAGCCAACCCTGCTCTGGTAAGTGTTCTGTTGATGAGGGCCACATGCCCCCAGCCAACCCTGCTCTGGTAAGTGTTCTGTTGATGAGGGCCACATGCCTACATCCAGTTATGCTCTGCTAAGTGTTCTGTTGATGAGCCCACTTGCCCCAGCCAACCCTGCTCTGGTAAGTGTTCTGTTGATGAGGGCCACATGCCTACATCCAGTTATGCTCTGCTAAGTGTTCTGTTGATGAGGGCCACATGCCCCCAGCCAACCCTGCTCTGGTAAGTGTTCTGTTGATGTGGGCCACATGCCCCCAGCCAACCCTGCTCTGGTAAGTGTTCTGTTGATGAGGGCCACATGCCCCCAGCCAACCCTGCTCTGGTAAGTGTTCTGTTGATGTGGGCCACATGCCCCCAGCCAACCCTGCTCTGGTAAGTGTTCTGTTGATGAGGGCCACATGCCCCCAGCCAACCCTGCTCTGGTAAGTGTTCTGTTGATGTGGGACACATGCCTCCATCCAGTTATGCTCTGGTAAGTGTTCTGTTGATGAGGGCCACATGCCCCAGCCAACCCTGCTCTGGTAAGTGTTCTGTTGATGAGGGGCCACATGCCTACATCCAGTTATGCTCTGGTAAGTGTTTTGTTGATGAGGGCCACATGCCTCCATCCAGTTATGCTCTGGTAAGTGTTCTGTTGATGTGGGCCACATGCCCCAGCCAACCCTGCTCTGGTAAGTGTTCTGTTGATGAGGGCCACATGCCCCCAGCCAACCCTGCTCTGGTAAGTGTTCTGTTGATGTGGGCCACATGCCCCCAGCCAACCCTGTTCTGGTAAGTGTTCTCTGGTGATGAGGGGCCACTTGCCCCCAGCCAACCCTGCTCTGGTAAGTGTTCTGTTGATGTGGGCCACATGCCTCCATCCAGTTATGCTCTGGTAAGTGTTCTGTTGATGAGGGCCACATGCCTCCATCCAGTTATGCTCTGCCAGTAAGTGTTCTGTTGATGTGGGCTACATGCCTCCGTGTCAAATCGTGTTTCAGCAAAGAAACTTGACAAGTATTTATCCGAAATAGATTTTCCATTTCACGATACATACGGAAATTTAATGTTAGGCGATACAAAGGTATTTATGTGGGTACGATGCGCTTGAAATCTTATATTATGTCGTGCCAATTGATTTTGACACTTTGCCTGATGTTATCTGTAGCCATGATAAACCATAATATCCAAACAATTTTGCCGGGGAGGCGATACAAACACTAGCTACCGAGATAAGACCATAATGCAGCTAGTTTGACTAATGTCATTATGAGATGAAATGTATTGTGTGAGCTGTACTTCATCTATGTGTCTCTCTCTGTAGGGTACAGCTGGTCTCATGAATGGCCATGGACAAAGCTGAGGCAGACTCTTGGAACTACAGGCACAGATACAGGCAGTATAGTTGAGACTCACAGATTCTGAAGACTCACACGGCCTCAGTCAGTCCGTCCCGGCCTGTGAGTACCACTGTATAGTTAGGAGCTCTGTATTGCACTTGGTTGTTAAATGACTCGGTGATTCAGGCTAGCCTAGTGGTGTTCAAGCGAGACTGCCCTGTCACTGGGATAAGAGCCGTTAAAGGTTGAGTGTACCATATAGTAGCTGTGTTAGAAAGTGTCTGTCCCTCAGTCAGTCCGTGTCCCCGCCGATTATATTGCTGGATATCTAACAGATTGAGACTTCACTCAGTCAGCCTCAGTCTGGCCATTCTCTTTAAATGACTCACAGATTCAGGCTATTGTAGTAGCTAGTGTTGGGAATCTGGTTAAAATCTTATAATTGATGATTAGTTTACTACAACGATCGGTTCATCGAAAAATCCCTAATTGGTTAAGCGTCATTAATAAAATCCTTAGCGAACATTAAATGCAATTACGAATTATCTCCCTTCTTTCTGTCCAATCAGAACCGTGTTACATCAACTTGACTAATACAAGCAAATGTTGGGTCACAAAATATCCCTCCTCTGCCAGGAGCGTGTGTTGATGTGACACACATGACATTTAATGGCTGAGCTTGTCCGTTGCTCAGCGAAATGATTGAGAGCTATTGATCGCCATTTACATGACTGAGTTTTGTTATAAGAAACCTTTAGTGCACCAGCGGGGGAAAGAGGTTCTAGTTTTCCCGAAGCATATGGAAATAACCGAGGCCTTGTGAATTATCACTTTTGAAACAATCTTAGCTGATTGCACAACTAAATCTGATTGCAACCAATCACAGGATCCTGAGCTGTAGTGCACAGAAAGGGGCTGTGTTAGAACAGTGTCTGTCCCTGTAGGAAGATATTGACAGAGTAACCTCTGTGGGAAGAAATACTCAGTCTGGCCTGTGAGTAGGACTACACAAATAGACATCTTGGGAGAAGGTACTTTTTGTTACCTAGCCTGGCTCGTGGCAGCAAAGATATATAACAAGGAGACTGGGAGTCAGTTTACTCTGTCCGACTTGGGCAATATGTAAGACTGCAGCATGGTGTCTCAGCTATGTTCTTAAAGGAAAACAAGCAGCAGTTTGTTGTCCACTTCTCAAAACTGAATCCTGACATGTGACAGAGATTCAAGGGAAGTAACTGTGTCTAATCCCTGTGAGTTTCTTTCTTTTTCAGTAAACAGATTGCTCTCACAGGGTAAGTGGAAGGAAAGATTTCATTTTTGCTACAATGATCTCCTCACTTTATCCAAGAAAAAGAATGCCATTAAGTAAAATTATGACTTTGTTAGTAACTTGGAGAGCAAATATCCACGCCTCCCTTACGTGAAGTGCAGTTAATATTTCTTGAAAGTTGTTTTATAAAATCTTTTGAAATATCACCCTTTCCCCACAGCCATCTTTGATTTTCTCAGAAAACTAGGGGAAGTAATTCCATCAAAGAATCCGTTGATTGAGGACCAGTAACAAAAGCTCTCAAGGATCGGGTAGTCAGGCTCGCTTGCTTGGTTGACACATGTCATCGGTTCCCAATTGCGCAGATCGATGCTCATGCTGTTGATCACTGGATTGTCTGGTCCAGACTCGATTATTTACAGACCGCCGCCATATAGCTGGAATATTGCTGAGTGCGGCGTAAAACTAAACTCACTCACTCACTCATGTTTTTCAGAAAAGGAGAACAATATTGGGTCAACTTGTTCATGACAATTACGATGCTTAGGGATTGTGGTGACACATATGGACCGTATGGACTATGCTTTAGCCCTCTGTTATTTTTAAGAACAAGATAATATATTTGGTTTAAATTTGACTTACAAAACAGTAATGTGAATTGATTTGATGAGATGTGTATTGATATGAAGGAACCTTTGTTTGCCGTTAGGGATAAGTGGCAAGGGACGTTGGTCATGATATCAAACATTTCATTATTGAAAGGGTGCTCATCTAAACAGTAACAAACTAGTCCAGTGAAAGTCCATCCTCGATAACCTCCAGGGTATACATTATGATAAATCTCCACTATACCCTGAATGGGCTGAAGGGAGGTAATAAAATTATCAGACCGAGCCGTAGATGCATCCAGGGTATAGTGGAGATTTATCGTAACGTATACCCTGGAGATTATCAAGGATGGTGAAAGGAGGTGCTCTGCAGAGTTAATCCCTTGGTATGCCTTAGTTTTTTTGTTGATTCACCTTACCCCGTCCATACATTCCCAGCATACAACAGCTGTCAGGAAGTTGTTGACAGTTAGTTGTGTATTATGCTGTCTCCATGGGAACAGTTAATGCAGATGCTTCTCCTTTCAGGCCAACATCCGAGCCAAGCGTCGGGAACAGTTCAAGGGTCTGATAGACAAACCACCAGAGGAGATCAGTGACAGCAGGTTCTTCGACCCCCGAGTTGGGTGAGTCACATGGGTTATCTCCCTATCTACTGCATCGTTCAAGCCTCCAGCAGGTGACGCCTTTGTTACCATCCTTATTGCAACCAGTCTGCAGTGTCCAGATTTACCCAACCGCCTCTATGGTGTAGTGGTTAGAACGGCCGCCCGGAGAGGGGAAGGTCGCGGGTTCGATCGCCGGCCGCGTCATACCAAAAGACGTTAAAATATGGTACTTGTTGGTCCCTGCCTGGCGCTTGGCATTAATGGGTACAACAAGGACTGGTCGGCTCGGAGTCAGTATAATGTGTCTGAGTGGGGTATTCATGCTTCACTGCGGCATGGTATCTCAGTGAGCTAGCACTATAAAACCAGCTTCAGTCTGGGCTAGTACAAGCAGCCGCACATACACATACACACGCATGCACGTTGTCATATGAGCGAAATATTCTCAAGCAAGACGTTAAACCCAATTTCACCTCACCTCACCAGATTTACCCTACATGACATGCATCTTTGTAGCCCAACTGAACCGTTGTCAGTCCTTTGAAATGTCTGTACCATTTTGGGTTTTTGCTGCAGTTAATAGTGCAGAGTTCCGTCACTTGTGTCCTAAAACTTGAATGAATGTTGGTTGCCTGGACTGTATTAGGGGTTTGTGAGCCCCAAACTTTCACCCATTGGTCTCATCAAAGTAAATTGTGTGTGTGACCTGCATTATTTTTTCAAATTTTCACCCACATAAGCTGACACACTGTTACATAAGTGGAATAATGCCACTTCCCCCTCCCCCCTCTCGGAATAATGTTGAAAGGGTACATAATGCTTGCTTGCTCGCTCACCCACTCACTCACTCATTTCTGGTGTCCCTCGCCATGATATTGCTGGACTATTGCTAAAAGTGGCATAAAACTAAACTCACTCACTCACTCTATGCTACAGTGGTAAAGGAGCAACTAGACAGAAGAGATCCTTCAAGTTCCATGACAAGGGAAAGTTCGAGTCACTGGCACAGAGGCTCAGAACCAAGGTAAGTTTGTGGGGTTCATGTTTCATCAAGGAATCTTACATTCAGTGATTCAATAATTCAAACAGCTGTGGAGATGGCAAAACTTTCTGGATGATCAACTTCTTTATTTTTACAATAGTGATGTTTCGGTAGAAAACGTCGCTATTGTGAAAATAAAAAAATTGATCATTCCACCAACTTCTAGAAAGTCACTCAAACAAATCAAACTGCTGTGTGGTTGTAAAAAAAACTCTTTGAAATTCATAATAATGGTCAGCCTACGGCAACTAAAGTGTTATGAATTCTAATGCAAGTCCTTATTGACCAGTAGCAGTTGAGGGTTTCTGTTAAATCCTGGCTATAAACTGGACCAGAATAATGCTGTCAGAAAACCAGGTCTATTTTGTTATGCTGGGAATATGTTCCTATAGTCCCCTGGACTAGTCTTACAAGACTGAATTCCTCATCGGTTTGGAGGGTCAGACTCACTGGCTTGGTTGACACATGTCATTGTATCTCGATGTATTGTGTAGACCGATGGTCATGATTTTCATCACTGGATTATTTACTGACCGCGGCCGTTATGACATATAGCTGGAATATTGCTGTTAAACAAAAAAGAAAACAGAAAGAATATATAAGGCTATAGTGTTGTCATTGTGTGTGGGGGCAGTGGGGTAGCCTAGAGGTTAAAGCGTTTGCTCGTCACACCAAAGACCCGAGTTCGATTCCCAACAAGAGTACAGTGTGTGAAGCCCATTTCTTGTGTCCCCTGCCGTGATGTTGCTGGAATATTGCTAAAAGCGTCGTAAAACCAAACTGACTCACTCATTGTGTGTGAGTGAAGTGACAGTTTTCAGTGTGGAGGATTTGTTGAAGCCACTGTCCACATGTAGCTGCTAAACAGATGTGACTTCCATGTACAACTTCATGTCACCGTATCTGATGATATCTTCCTCAGGCCCAGCTGGATCGGCTGCAGAATGAAATCGCCTCGGCAGCTAAGAAGACTGGTATAGCATCTGCCGCCAAGCTGGCAACAATAGTGCCCAAGAAAGAGATAGTGAGTACATTGTAGGACTCCATGGTATACCGGTATATCGTAATATGCTTTTCAAACGATACATATTGCAATATTTTTTTATGAGAACCGGTATTTTGGGTAAAGAACATATGTGAAGTTTTCATGTTATCTTTATAGTTTAACTTATCTACCCAATGCTGTAAACATTAAAATAGAACCATGACTGCAACCTAATTTTGAGACTGTTGTTATCAGAACCATAACATAAGTGTAGGGACTATAAAATAGAAATGGCATTGATGTACACAAAAAGTGTCACTCACTGTCAAACACTTTAAGTTCCCAAAATCTTGCAATATGTATCGCAATACGGGTACCTGAATCGCAATATATTGCAATACAATTTATTTGCAAATACACAGCCTTAGTCCAGTAGTTGTATCTTCTCAGCAATAGTAGTAGAAGGGAGCCACCTTGAGATTGAGAACGTGTTTGGAGGAAATGTTTGAACAAGTTGCTGTTGTGATTGTGAAGATCACACTTGATATATCCAACTTGGAAGTATGGTTCAGTTTTGTGTGGTGTGTGTTTCAGAAAGAGGGAGACACCCCGGACATTGAGTGGTGGGACTACTTCATCACCATCAAGGAATCGTAAGTATACTCCTCTGTGGGGATTGTAAGTACGCTATTATGTGGGGATCGTAAGTACACTTCCCTGTGGAGATCACAAGTACACTCCTTTGTTGGTATGTTAAGTACACTCCTCTGTGGGTATCGTAAGTACACTATAATGTTGGGATCGTAAGTACACCTCCCTGTGGGTATCGTAAGTACACTTCTCTGTGGAGATCATTAGTACACTCCTCTGTTTGTATGGTATGTATGCTCCTCTGTGGGTATCGTAAGTACACTTCTGTGCGGGTATCATAAGTACACTATTATGTTGGGATCGTAAGTACACTCCTCTGTGGGTATCGTAAGTACACTTCTCTGTGGGTATCGTAAGTACACTTCTGTGCGGGTATCATAAGTACACTATTATGTTGGGATCGTAAGTACACTCCTCTGTGGGTATCGTAAGTACACTTCTGTGGGTATCATAAGTACACTATTATGTTGGGATCGTAAGTACACTCCTCTATGGGTATCGTTAGTACACTTCTCTGTGGGCATCGTAAGTACACTTCTCTGTGGATGTTATAAGTAGACTATCATCTTGGGATTGTAAGTACACTCCTATGTGGGTATTGTAAGTACACTTCCCTGTGGGTATCGTAAGTACACTTCTCTGTGGAGATCACAAGTACACTCCTCTGTGGGGATCATTAGTACACTCCTCTGTTTGTATGGTATGTACGCTCCTCTGTGGGTATCGTAAGTACACTTCTCTGCGGGTATCATAAGTACATTATTATGTTGGGATTGTAAGTACACTCCTCTGTGGGTATCATAAGTACGCTACTCTGTGGGTATCGTTAGTACACTTCTCTGTGGGTATCGTAAGTACACTCCTCGGTGGGCATTGTAAGTACACTTCTCTGTGGGTATCGTTAGTACACTCCTCTGTGGGCATTCGTAAGTACACTTCTCTGTGGGTGTTATAAGTAGACTATCATGTTGGGATCGTAAGTACACTCCTATGTGGGTATTGTAAGTACACTCCTCAGTGGGTATCAAAAGTACACTCCTCTGTGGGTATCGTAAGTACACTCCTCTGTGGGTGTCGTAAGTACACTCCTCTGGGTATCGTAAGTACTCTCCTGTGGGTATCGTAAGTACACTTCTCTGTGGGTATCGTTAGTACGCTCCTCTGTGGGTATCTTAAGTACACTCCTCTGTGGGGATCATAAGTACGCTATTATGTAGGGAACGTTAGTACACTCCTCTCTGGGGATCGTAAGTACACTTCCCTTTTGGTATCGTATGTACGCTCCTCTCTGGGGATCGTAAGTACACTTCCCTGTGGGTATCGTATGTACGCTTCTCTGTGGGGATCGTAAGTACGCTCCTCTCTGGGGATCGTAAGGACACTTCCCTGTGGGTATCGTATGTACACTTCTCTGTGGGGATCGTAAGTACACTCCTCTGTTGGTATTGTAAGTACACTTCTCTGTTGGTAACGTCAGTATGTTCTTCTGTTGGAATCTTAAGTACAACCCTCTGTGGGTATCGTAAGTACACTTCTCTGTTGGTATCGTCAGTATGTTCCTCTGTGGGGATCGCAAGTACACCCCTCTGTGGGGATCGCAAGTACATCCCTAAGTCTTTCAAAGGTGCTGATGATATCAATCACTGGATTAGTTGATCCAATTGTCTAAATTTACTAGCCACTGTCACAGAGTTTAGATATCACTGAGTGCAGTGTTAAACTAGAAACTCACCCATAAGAACACACAGGATTCGAGGCAGAATACAGACAAAAAGCAGGTCTGTTCAAATGTTGTTATGTTTCTGTTTTCCCAACCCTGTCTAACGTAAATCCTTCTTGCGTTATGGTAACCTGTGTTTCCATTTTCCTCGGGATCCTTTTCAGAGGCCTTCAGATCCTTCTGTGGAGTAACCTCCCTTTATTGTGCCAGGATCTTCCTAGTATTTGATTGGACTTATGAAGATCCGCATTAGAATTGATCTTCAGTAACACATGTTTGTCGTAAGAGGAGACTAACTGGATCGGGTGGTCAGGCTCGCTGACTTGGTTGACACATGTCATCGGTTCCCAATTGCGCAGAATGATGTTTGTGCTGTTGATCCCTGGATTGTCTGGTCCAGACTTGATTATTTACAGACCGCCTCCATATAGCTGGAATATTGCTGTGTGCGGCGTAAAACTAATGTCACTCACTCACTATTATTTGATTGTATGATCATTGCTCTGTTATTCCACACATGAACTCGTGGTTATGGGTTCACCATCAAGCATATTCTGCTTGACTGAGTAGACTTTTCAACAGTGAAGCAAACAGTGTAGACTACTTGAGAGAGGTTGACCTGTATCATATACTACCCATCAAAGTTTAGAGGTGAGGTGAGGGGAAATTGGGTTTAACGTCGTGCTTGAGAATATTGAGCTCATATGAGGACGTGCATGCGTGTGTATGTGTATCAAAGATCTGCCACCACCACTTCAGGAACATTGGTTCTACCCGTCACCTCCTTACTAGAAACACCACTGCCACACTGATGAGATCACTAGTATTGTCGCGGTTAGACTACTGCAATAGTCTCTTGATTGGTATTACCAGTGACCAACTGCACAGACTGCAGAAACTGCAGAACACCGCTGCCAGGATTATCACGCGCACAAAACTATCAGGTCATATCCAGCCTGCATTGAAGTCTCTCCACTGGTCGAGAATTAGGGAAAGTTTAAGATATTAACTCTAACTTACCAATTACTAAATGGAACTGCTCCACTCTATCTCCAAGCCCTTGTCTCACCCTATTTCCCACCGAGGAATCTCAGATCTGCCGATCAATCACTTCTTCTTGTGCCTCCATATAAGCTCAAAACTTTTGGACATAGATCCTTCAAACATTCAGCTGCTTGCCTGTGGAACTCTCTCCCTACAGACATCAAATCTGCTCCAACTCTCTCAAGTTTCAAATCGCACCTAAAGACATTTCTTTTTCTTCGCTACTGACTGTCTTGTGTTTGCACTTAGAGCATGGCCTAGTGTTGTGGAGTCAAGCGCATTACAAATGATCTATATTAATATGTGCGGCTGCTTGTACTAGCCCAGACTGAAGCTTGTTTTATAGTTCTAGCCCACTGAGATACCATGCCGCAGTGAAGCATGAATACCCCACTCAGACACATTATACTGACTCCGAACCGACCAGTCCTTGTTGTACCCATTAATGCCGAGTGCCAGGCAGGGAACAACAAGTACAATATTTTAACGTCTTTTGGTATGACGTGGCCGGGGATCGAACCCGCGACCTTCCGCTCTCCGGGCGGACGCTCTAACCACTACACCACGGAGGGGGCAAAAGTTTAGACTCACTTTAAGCACTCACTATATGTTATGCATATATGTGTGGTTACAATAGTTACATTGAAGATTAATTTCTCCACTAACTTTGGGGAACCAACTGCAAACTTTATGCAGATGAATTGAATGAAGATCATGCATTAAATTGCTAAAGAGCATGTGCAAATATCGTGCATGTGAACAGCTGTGTTGTGTAAAATTTTGTTAAAAATTCGCCAATTTTCATCCAGTTTCATCATTTTTTAACCGATGACAATAATCTTTTTAACGTTACAAATTTGTTTTACAATACATCAGTTCATGTGTAAATAGTACCTTTACACAGTATGGAAAATTTTGCAAAATCTAGTTTAGAAGAGTTGACTTAAGTCAGTGGCTACATTTATACAAGTGAATCTAAGCTTTTGATGGGCAGTATAGATTGTAACTGTGTAATGTTTGGGATACATTGCTTGTTTTTAAATTCTACGCTATGACATTTTCTCATTGTGGATAATAATGTCATGAATAAATATGTATTTTAAGAATCTCATATAGACTCTGTACTTAAAATGTATACATATAGTCTCATCGCTATATGCCTGAAATAATGCTGATGAGACATAAAAGTCAGCTGAACTAATCTCAACCAACATATGAAAAGGAGGTACCTAGTGATGTATGGTAGAGTGCTGCTATGTACAGAGTAGTGTCCCTTAGTGCTATCAGGATCAGGTTGTAAGTCCTTCACATTCTGTAATGATTGTGTTGTCAGATATGAGGAGGTGCCGAATGAGAAACCGTCCAGACGGGCCATGCTACAGGGTATCACCACGCTGGTTGAACATCCAGCTCAACTCAGGCCGCCGGGTGAGTTACCTCCCCTTGTAGAGCAAGGCTCAGTAGGGAATGTACAGTCTGTTTGGCTCAAAAGCGGACCGATGATTTGCAATCTAACTCGAAAACTAATAAATCTAACATACTCAATGAAACACTGATCATAATCAAAACATCAGACCAACTCTGTGAGGTTTTTGCAGAATTTTTGTCCTAAAAATAATAAAGTCTCCATCCGTTCTCGAACACCTGGCTGTCTCTTTAATGATAGTTTGTTAAACAACTTTATTATTTTTAGGACAAAAATTCTGCAAAAACCTCACAGAGTTGGTCTGATGTTTTGATTATGATCAGCGTTTCATGGAGTATTATATGTTTATTAGTTTTTGAGTTAGATTGCAATTCATCGGTCCACTTTTGAGCCAAACGGACAAAAAAAACATTGTGTGCTGGGAAAGATGTGTGTTTTGCAGGAAGAGTTTTACGGCAATGTCATTTAGTCTGTAAATGTCTTTGACCCAATCCTCATGTGCTGGTAAAGGAGTTTTCAATCTGTGATTGAATGAAAAGTTGGTTTATCTAATGACCTTGATATTTAGAATGGTAATCAAACTCACTAGATTGACCCACAACAGCGACTCTGTCTTATTTCAGATGCATTGTGCAGTTTGTTTTTGTTAGGAAGGCTAGATTTAAAGGCATGTGTCGACTCTTCCCCGTCTCCATCTACTATGCATCTGTTGACCCGGGCTTAAATATGGAAAATCACTGTTCTAGTGATGTAATATTTTAACCATATTTAAGCCCAGGGCTTAAATTCGAAAAGGCACAATATTTTGATAAAATGAAAAGAATCAGGATTTATAAAAACCCTTTAATCAGGAAACTGGTCTAGACATTCAAAATTGAAAGTTATGAAAACGTTTAGAGCCTGTTATGGTTACATTTTGTCAGATCAATAATTGATCGATTATAATCGTTTGGACGGTCATTTCATAGTCAAATACCTATGTTAGCGAACTAACTTCTGGGATGTTGTCAGCACGTGTCAATTGTTAGCGCTAGCAAGTTACTTACATGTGCAGCGTCTTTGGATCATCTAGTTGCCTATCGTCTTACATTTCAGATCGTTATATGTTTTTGTTCGGCCACTACAATTCCCGTTTATAGCGTGAAAATGCGAGAAAATCCCCGCTATCGTTCTGACATAAATATGCTACGAATCAGTTTCCATGCGTAGGCAACAGTATAAAAAACCCACAAGAGATTAATTTTAACTCGGGGATCCTTGGCCACAGTCGATTTACACATGACTATCTGCTGAAAACGGATGGGGATGGACCCCCCATGTGTGTCTCTTGCGATGAGGTGTTCACCGTCAAGCATATTCTGCTTGAATGCGTGGACTTATCGCCTGCAAGGGACTCACATTATGAAGCAACAAACCTAAAAGATCTGTTCTCACGCGTCTGAGCGTCCATCTGATACTGAACTACCTGAGGGAAGTTGATCTGTATCATAAATTGTAACTGTGAAATGTAACAACCATAAATTGTAACTATGAAATGTAACAAACCGCCTGCCTTTAAATTTGATGCTATGACTTTTTCTGCTTTTGAATGACAATGTAATCAATAAATGTCATTGAAATAAAACTCATTCCGAGTATGTACTTACAATATTTACTAATACAAACTTGTTCTCGTCACTATATGGCTGGAAAAATGCCGATGTGACGTAAAGCTCAACTCAACTCAACTCAACTTAATGCAATATCTACCTCATAATCAAATGCACAAAAATCCTAAATCTTTACTCCAATAATGCCATTAATGTTTCGTCTGCTTAGTTGACATCCCACCTTACAAGATTACGCTATGAGTCATGTGACCTCGCTGGTAGATTTATTTTCATGGCATGCCATTTTTAAAAAAAACTTCTTGTTTATGTTGAAGGGTGAACAATGACATTTCCTTAAGGTTGAAACACAAAATTTATTCTGGGAAGTATTATAATTTACCACTATATCGAAAGTGGAATTCCCTCTTTCAGCCAATTACAAAATAGCTAACCTGTAATACCTGGGTCGTCTTGTGACATTTGGTTGCGTGATTGGACGAATGAGTTTTTCACAGTTTGCTCATAAATATTAAATCATTTCTATAAACCACTTTACAACTCGTAGTATTTCCATGACAAAATAGGACACCCCAATTTAAATATATCTACCATTGCCATTGGCTGACAGGGGAGGCATGCGCACTTGTGTAGTACACAGCTTCCGTTTAAGAGGTAAACAAGCAATGACAACCAGAGTGTTCAGTATAAGAAAACATGACATGGTAGAATACATTTTGTAATGTATGTGCATAAAAAAAATGATTATTTTCGATTATCGATCTGCAGTTTATTTGTAATCGACAATCGTTTATTTTGACTTAGATCGAACGATTAACTGATCCTATGATTAATCGCTCCAGCACTAAAAATATTTACTTGAGTGTGTAAATGTGAACGTGAATGATAAAGTTGACAGTCTAATTAAAGCAATACATGAACTTCAAACTAATATGACAGGAGTGTCTGACTGATATCTATGACAGTGTCACTATTCAGAGTCAAAGTCTCTGCGTTTGGAAAGGGACATCACTCTAAACATGGGCTAAATTTACAGGAATTCGCGGTATGCATCTCTTGACATCTCCCCCTACTATGCCTTTGTGGTGTAGTGGTTAGAGCGGCCACCCAGAGAGGGGAAGGTCGCAGGTTCGATCCCCGACCGCGTCATACCAAAAGACGGTAAAAGATGGTAGTTGTGGTCCCTGTCTGGCGCTCGGCATTAATGGGTACAACAAGGACTGGTCGGCTCGGAGTCAGTATAATGTGTCTGAGTGGGGTATTCATGCTTCACTGCGGCATGGTATCTCAGTGGGCTAGAACTATAAAACCAGCTTCAGTCTGGGCTAGTACAAGCAGCCGCACATACACATACACACGCATGCACGTCGTCATATGAGCGAAATATTGTCAAGCACGACGTTAAACCCAATTTCACCTCACCTCACCTCGCCTCACCATAATATGCATCGGTTGACTCCTCCCCCTCTCTGCATCTCTTGACTCCTCCCTGTGTTGACACCTCCCCCTGGTATACCTCTGTTGACACTGTACTGCTGTTTCAGCTGAGCCCACGAAGGAGATCAGCATCCCAGTGTACCTGACCAAGAAGGAGAGGAAGAAGCTGAGGAGGCAGAACAGGCAGGAGGCGGAGAAGGAGCTCCAGGAGAAGATCCGTCTCGGGCTCCAGCCACCACCCCGAACCTAAAGGTGATTGTCAATACTTCCTAAGAATACAGCCGTGTGATTGGCCAGTCACTCATCCTGTAATTTGGCTGGCTGGCTTAATGATGTCATTATGTGGTTTGAGTTTTTATATTAGTTATTACTTCATGGCGCTTTTATCACTTAGAATTATGCTCAGTGACAAGACATGACTATCCGTCACATGCAAATATTTTCCATCCCACCCCTCAGTCCACCCCACCCCTCAGTCCATCCCACCCTACCTCTCAGTCCACCCCCATCCAACCCCTCACTCCACCCCAGTCCATCCCACCCTACCCCTCAGTCCATCTCACCCTACCCCTCAGACCATCCCAAACTACCCCTCGGTCCATCCCACCCTATCCCTCGGCCCATCCCACCCACATATAGATGTTGTATTTGGGATTACACTGTCGTAGTGAGGTACAGATTCTAGTACTTTTGTCTGATCTGGATTAGTCCCACCTGGGAATGAAACCCACATCTCAGAGTCAGGACTCAACCCAAATGAAGTTCTAGAATCTCTACTTTACTGATAAAGTGTTATCCTAAATATAACATTTCAACACTTTCTAAAAGACATTGTGTTTTCACGCTCATATAGACTTTCATTGTTCCTGAAACTGTTTTCTAATATTGAGGAAGTTTTAAGGATGCTGTGATACATGACCTTGTGAGAGATGATGAAGACAGTTCGGATGTGCTCGTTCTGTTTCAGTGCGAATGGCCAACCTGATGCGAGTGTTGGGTACGGAGGCTGTGCAGGACCCCACCAAGATAGAGGCACACGTCAGGGCACAGATGGCCAAGAGGCAGAAGTAGGTCAACTCAGGTCATGGTCAACAGCCAAATCAGACTTCAGTAATCAGGCCCCTTTAGAATGGCTCCCAATGTATTTGGTTCTGGGCAGCTGGTTGGTTGGTTAGTTTTATAGTTTTAGGGCGACATGGGCCAGTAAGAGGCCTATATGCGCCCATGGGCAGCTGTTTGTTGTGTAGAGTTACCTCCCTTGGGCACTCCAAGAGTCTTGCCACTTTTCTTCTTGCCATTTTTCTTGTTGCATTTCTTCCAAGATTGGGACACACTGTGGTATAACTGATGAATGACAGTCTAAAGTCGGCCAGTGGAAGGCTGAAAAAAATTCAAATGAAAAGACAAGTGTCTGGACAATGAATTGATGGATTAAGTGGCAGAGGGTGACAATAGTTATTTTAAAAGCCAGGCCAGTCTGTACCTGCAGAGTTACCTCCCTTGTTTGGTTCAAGTTAGTCCTGATTTTGCCATATAGCTTGAATATTGCTGAGTGCAATAGTACTCACTTGACAACTAAGTTGTATTACAAAAGATGATGATAAGAAAATAAATTCTCTAAATTCTATTCTTTAAATGTGTTTCCATTAAAGAAAGCAGTAAAGTGTAAATATTACAGTGTTCGACTGGTGTTTATTTCAGAGCTCACGAGGAGGCAAATGCAGCTCGGAAGTTGACGACGGAACAGAGACGGGACAAGAAAATCAAGAAAATCAAAGAAGATACAACACTGGGTGTGAGCGTAGCTGTGTATAGGTCAGTATCGAGGCAGAAGTCTAGATAAGCTTCATATCTGCATAAAATATGCATTGAAATTTCCAAAATACGCACTGAAATATATCGTTAGCTTCTCAAATACGCAAAGGAAATTGCAGAAACATTTTGGTTAGTTGTTGACATGCGTACCCAGACTTACCTGTAAAAAACAAATTTGTTCCAGAAAGTAACTAACTGTCAGATGTTACGAGTGGATCGGGTAGATTATCATGCCACTGTACAAGTCAAATAATTGCCAACATTTTGTGGCACGTACCGCGGGAAGTCAGCGGTGACTTGTCAAACTGTCTCCTACGTAAAATGTATCCAGCCAGGTAACCCAAAGTGCTTAGCAATGCTAATTATTATGTTAAATATGTTCGTAGAAAACATTGCATTATACTTATACGATAGAATATCTATGTTAGTATAAATGCTTGACATATAAATTATTCTGATAATGGAAAAGAAATTCTTTGATGTTATATTTTTGGATCGTTTTTAACTGAATCACCGGTACATTGGCCCAAAACATCGATCTGTGCACAGCTGATAGCTATTTCCGGCATAGTTGAATAACAGGTAGCATGACAGGAACAACAATTGAATTATCATGTCTTGTGGTGTTTGATTGCAAGTTTCATGTACATACATCTATTTTCATTTGCAAAGTTTTTGGGTTTTTTCACCTCCAACAATACGATATAGTTTTGACTGGGCACAATACCCGAAATAGCAGTTTTGTTATGTCCATGGAAAATATGATTTTACTTGGCCTTTGTTCCGCGTTATGTAATCGTTACTATAACGCGGGGGGTCATCCATGGACCCCAAGACCCACGTTGTGGCGAGGGATGACTGTAACTTAAAACTTCATTATTGTTTTATTTCTTTTAGACAATGACCATGTTAATGTTTGGAGTACACATAATTGTCTAAAGTTACCTTTTGTAACGTTTTTAAAATTACTGACAGAGAAAAATACCCAGATTTAAAAATAGGGTGGGTAGTACCCATTTAAGACTGACACCATGGGTAAAAAACCCAGATTGTAAAGAGCTTATCTAAACCTCTATGGAGGTGCTTGTAGTGTTGGTTATCAATCACAATATTAATAAACAGAGCTCAGTGATTAACCAGTAATCAATTGTAAATTTAAATCCCTCCACAAAACTCATGTGGCAAAAACAGGACGCTATTGAACATTGTGTAAACAAAACAGGCCAGACGATTGAGGATACTTCCAGGAGGCCAGCATGTGAGAATGTTGCCTACCCTCCAGCTTTACGAGTCAGGAAACAACATCGATTGTTGCCTACCCTCCAGCTTTACGAGTCAGGAAACAACATCGATTGTTGCCTACACTCCAGCTTTACGAGTCAGGAAACAACATCGATTGTTGCCTACACTCCAGCTTTACGAGTCAGGAAACAACATCGATTGTTGCCTACACTCCAGCTTTACAAGTCAAGAAACAACATCGATTGTTGCCTACACTCCAGCTTTACGAGTCAGAAACAACATCGATTGTTGCCTACACTCAACTTTACGAGTCAAGAAGAAACAACATCGATTGTTTGCCTACACTCCAGCTTTACAAGTCAAGAAACAACATCGATTGTTGCCTACACTCCAGCTTTACGAGTCAGGAAACAACATCGATTGTTGCCTACCTCCAGCTTTACAAGTCAAGAAACAACATCGATTGTTGCCTACACTCCAGCTTTACGAGTCAAGAAACAACATCGATTGTTGCCTACACTCCAGCTTTACGAAGTCAAGAAACAACATCGATTGTTGCTTACACTCCAGCTTTTCACGAGTCAGGAAACAACATCGATTGTTGCCTACACTCCAGCTTTACGAAGTCAGGAAACAACATCGATTGTTGCTTACACTCCAGCTTTACGAGTCAAGAAACAACATCGATTGTTGCCTACACTCCAGCTTTACGAGTCAGGAAACAACATCGATTGTTGCCTACACTCCAACTTTACGAGTCAAGAAACAACATCGACATTGTTGCTTACACTCCAGCTTTACGAGTCAGGAAACAACATCGATTGTTGCCTACACTCAAGCTTCACGAGTCAGGAAACAACATCGATTGTTGCCTACACTCCAACTTTACGAGTCAGGGAAACAACATCGATTGTTGCCTACACTCCAGCTACGAGTCAGGAAACAACATCGATTGTTGCCTACACTCAGCTTTACGAGTCAGGAAACAACATCGATTGTTGCCTACACTCCAGCTTTTACGAGTCAGGAAACAACATCGATTGTTGCCTACACTCCAGCTTTACGAGTCAGGAAACAACATCGATTGTTGCCTACACTCCAGCTTTACGAGTCAGGAAACAACATCGATTGTTGCCTACACTCCAGCTTTACGAGTCAGGAAACAACATCGATTGTTGCCCTACACTCCAACTTTACGAGTCAGAAACAACATCGATTGTTGCCTACACTCCAGCTTTACAAGTCAAGAAACAACATCGATTGTTGCCTACACTCCAGCTTTACGAAGTCAGGAAACAACATCGATTGTTGCCTACACTCCAGCTTTACGAGTCAGGAAACAACATCAATTGTTGCCTACACTCCAGCTTTACGAGTCAGGAAACAACATCGATTGTTTGCTTACACTCCAGCTTTACAAGTCAAGAAACAACATCGATTGTTGCCTACACTCCAGCTTTACGAGTCAGGAAACAACATCGATTGTTGCTTACACTCCAGCTTTACAAGTCAGAAACAACATCGATTGTTGCCTACACTCCAGCTTTACGAAGTCAGGAAACAACATCGATTGTTGCTTACACTCCAGCTTTACAAGTCAAGAAACAACATCGATTGTTGCCTACACTCCAGCTTTACGAGTCAGGAAACAACATCGATTGTTGCTTACCTCCAGCTTTACAAGTCAAGAAACAACATCGATTGTTGCCTACACTCCAGCTTTACGAGTCAGGAAACAGCATCGATTGTTGCTACACTCCAGCTTTACGAGTCAGGAAACAACATCGATTGTTGCCTACACTCCAGCTTTACGAGTCAGGAAACAACATCGATTGTTGCCTACACTCCAGCTTTACGAGTCAGGAAACAACATCGATTGTTGCCTACACTCCAGCTTTACGAGTCAGGAAACAACATCGATTGTTGCCTACACTCCAGCTTTACGAGTCAGGAAACAACATCGATTGTTGCCTATACACCAGCTTTACGAGTCAGGAAACAACATCGATTGTTGCCTACACTCCAGCTTTACGAGTCAGGAAACAACATCGATTGTTGATGTCATTTTCTATGAATATGGATTAGTAGAGCTGTGAGGATATATCGTAGTATCGATAATCGTGATACTTTTTCTGACCATAAATATATCGATACTTTTTTACATATCGTGATATGTATTGTTGACCTTAAAATTGTAAATTTTCACCCGAAATTGACAGTTATGTCAAAATTTACACTGTTTCTTGTTATCAAAATACACTTTTTAAAGAAAATAACTACAGATTGCATATCGTGATGTGCATCGTATCGAATCGTATTGTTCCATGATATCGCGATACGTATTGTATTGTGAAATGTCTGTATCGTCACACCTCTATTGATTAGTCTCCCACAAGTTTTGACACAAGCAAGACTGAGTGATTATTTGAACAATCACTCCAGCTCTAATGACTTCTCTTCCAGCTCATGTTAAAATAAATCTCCATATGTTCTTGACAGAAAAGGTCCGCGTAACTGGGACGGTTGGGTGGCCTTGTGGTTAAAGTGTTCGCTTGTCATGAGGAATACCTGGGTTTGATTCCCCACAAGGATACAATGTGTGAAGCCCATTTCTGGTGTTCCCTGCAGTGATATTGCAGTGATACTCAAAGTGGCGTAAAACCCAACTCACTCAGTCACTCGGTTCAACCCATGCTCCTGGCCCTGAAATTCCCCCAGTTTAATGTGTCCATTTATAAAGCGCTAAACTCCACACCAGGTATGCTCATAGCACTAACAATCAAACTACATTATTACCCCGGATAACCCAAGCTGCCTGTCAGGCGCTAGAAGATTATAGTGACACTCTGGGTACCAATTTTCTGCTGTGTCAACAGAGGCAATTTTGAACAAACTCACTTGCCTAAGGTGAGACTGCAAGTATGACGTATGCTTCGTTGTGGGGCTTGACTGATTCCTAGAAACTGCCAAACACGGTCGACCATCCAAGGACTCTCTGCGCCCATCGTTGCTAAACTTCAACTGATTCGTGACCTGAGCTCTATGACCAGGACCACACACCACCACACGCTGGTGCATCCAGCCTTAATAATAAATTACTCCCAATTTTCGTGCAAGGACACTTGTTTGAAATCCAAGTTAAATCCCTGGCTAACTTGCCGACATTTTTCTTTTGTCACAAGAACAAAAAAATTTAACCGTTAGTCATCATTTGTCATTTTAAACCGTGAAGATCCGGGTTAGAATTGGTCTTCAGCAACCCATACTTTTTATAAGAGGCAACTAATGGCATCGGGTGCTCAGGCTCACTGACTTGGTTGCCAAATGTCATGGTATCCCAACTGTGTAGATCAATACTCATGGTGCTGGTCACTGGATTGTCTGGTCCAGACTCGATTATTTACAGACCGCTGCCATATAGCTGGAATATTGCTGGGTGTGACGCTAAAGAACAACCCGACCAACCAACCAGCCAACCAACCAGCCAACTAACCAGCCAACCATTTAGTGACCCGTGTCTCATGCTGTTGTTTTGTCTTCACCTGTTCCAGAGTTCGCGATCTCAACAACCCTGCACGGAAATTCAAGATCGAAGCTAACGCCAATCAGTTATTTATGACGGGTTTTGTCGTGATGTACAAAGACTGCAATGTGATAGTGGTGGAGGGAGGTGAGTTGTCATGGCCGTCTTTCGTTGCATCTTTCGTCTTATGAGCGAAATATTCTCAAGCACGACGTAAAACCCAATTTCAATTTTGTTGCATCTTGCTTATCTGTCATATTTACTTTTGTGTTACACAGTGCTTTCTTCATGTAATGTATGCTGCGTTTGAAATAGGAAAACATGTTTTTTATTAAAATACACATGTTCATGCTTTTTGGTACAGTTCAATCCAGACGGGCCTATTGGTTAAAGCGTTTAATTGCCAAAGACTCGAGTTTTGATTCTCCACATAGGCAAAATGTGTGAAGCCCATTTGTTGAGTCCCCTGTAAAACTAAACTCACTCACTACAGTTTAATCCAGGATTTGAACGCAGTCTGAGATAGGCTCCTAATAGCCAGCACACTAAGTCCACCACCTAACTCACTCAACCACGAAGTCGCCCACGATTGTCTGACTACTATGAGTCAGATCACATACTTTGTGTACACCTCTGACAAGTGTAAATGGCTTCTAGCTTTCAGCCTTTAATTAGAAAGTTAGTTGGCAGTCTGAAAGATATCACTTGTTATATATCTGTTTCTCATGACATTTTCATTCTAGTTGAAAAATCAGGTATCATTTAGGCAGAAAATTCGGACAGTGGATTTATTGCACTTACATGTCTGACTTTTCACTGACAAGTCTATTGGGGCGGTGGGGTAGCCCTAATGGTTAAAACGCTGGACTGTCACGCTTGAAGACCGAAGTTCGAATCCCCACATGGGCACAATGTGTGAAGCCCATTTCTGGTGTCCCCCTGCCGTGATGTTGCTGGAATATTGCTAAAAGCTCGCGTAAAACCAAACTCAGTCAGTCAGTCAAGTCTATTATCAGGCTGAGTTGAATGACTGTTAATATTGTGTGTCACCGGGATTGTTGGTCATATTATGAACTCGGGTGGTGGGATAGTCTGGTAGTTAAAGCGTTCACTTGTCATGCTGAAGACCCAGGTTTGATTCCCCACATTGGCACAATGTGTGAAGTCATTTCTGGTGTCCCCCCATGATATTGCTGGATATTACTCATATCATATTATCAACCACTGGATTTAAAAATAGCATTGACTGTGTACAGGCCTGTTGTATGGCGAGGCTTCCTATACTGCGGCTTTGTTTCATTAAGCAGCAGCGGAAAGTTCAGTAGGTTGATGATGCAGAGGATCAAGTGGTATCCACACCAAGAAGAAGGATGTCGGTTGGTCCATCCCATTATCTCCTCTCCACTGAAGTTCTCTCAGCCTCCCCTCTCCATCCTGGCCTGTTGGTACTCCATCTATCTCTCTCTGTCCATCCTTCCTCTCTTCTTCCTCTCTCCCTCTCTCCCTTCCTCTCTCCTCCCTCTCTCTCTCCCCATCTCTCTCCCTCTCCTCTCCTCCTTCCCTCTGTCTCTCTCCTTTTCCTCTCTCTCTCTCCCTCCTTCTCTCCTTTCCCTGTCTCTCTCCTTCCCTCTCTTCATGTCTCTCTCCCTTCCCTCTGTCTCTCTCTAAGTCTCTGTCTCTCTGTCCCATCCTCCTGCCTCTGTCTCTCTCCTCTGTCTCTCTCCTCTGTCTCTCTCTCTGTCTCTCTCTGTCTCTCTCCTCTCTCTCTGTCTCTCTCTCTGCCTCTCCTTCTCTCTCCTCTCTGTCTCTCTCTCTCTCTCCTCTCTCCCTCCTGTCTCTCCTCTCTGTCTCCCTCCCTCTCCTCCTCTCTCTGTCCTTCCTCCCTCTGTCTCTCCTTCTTTTCCTCTCTCTCTCTCTCCTCCCTGTCTCCTCCTTCCTGTCCTCTGTCCTCCTCCTCTCCTCTCTCCTATCTCTCCTTTCTGTGTCTCTCCTTCCCCTCCTCACTCTCTCCTCCCTCTCTCCTCTATCCCTCCTTCTCTCTGTCTCTCCTCCTCCCTCTGTCTCTCTTCCTCTCATCCTCTCTCCTTTCTGTCTCTCCTCTCCTCCCTCTCTCTCCTTTCTGTCTCCTCCCTCTATCTCTCTCCTTCCTCTGTCTCTCTCCTTCCCTCTCTCTCTCTTCCCCCTCTGTCTGTCCCTCTCCTCCCTCTGTCTCCCCTCTGTCCCTCTCCTTCCTCTCTCCTCCCTCTGTCCCTCTCCTTCCTCTCTCCTCTCTGTCCTCCTTCCTCTCTCCTCCTGTCTCTCCTCCTCCTCTCCCTCCCTCACTCCCCACTCCTCTCCCCCTCCTCCTCCTGTCCCCTCTCTCCCTCCTGTCTCTCTCGTCCTCTGTCTCTCCTTTCCCCTCTCCCTCCCTCCCTCTCCCGTCTGTCTCTCCCCCCTCTATCTCTCTCCCTCTGTGTCCCTCCTGCCCTCCCCTCTGTTTCTCGCCTGTCTCTGTCCTCAACCACTGCCTCGGTGGTGTATTGAGTGGTTAAATGACCCGATGGGAGCAGAAGATCGTGGGTTCGATCAGACAGTGTCATCATACCAAGACACTTAAAATATGGTGCTTGTTGTTCACTGCATTAATGGGGTAAAACAAGGACTGTTGGGACCTAGGTCAAGTAAAATGTGTCTGAGTGGGGTATATATTTAGCTGTGACATGGTATCTCAGTGAGCTAGCACTATAAAACCAGCTTAAGTCTGGGCTAGTACAAGCAGCAGCACATACACATGCATGCATATGATATATGTCATATGAGCTGGGATATATTCTTAGTCGACGTTAAAGCCCATTTCACCTCACTTCTCCTTTTAACCTCTCTCCCACCTCTCTCTCTACTCCCCTCTCCTTAACTTGCCCTCTCAGTTCCTCCTCTCTCTCAGCCCTCTCCCTCCCCCACTCTCTCAGTCACTCTCTCTCTCTCTCTCTCTCTCTCTCATATGTCTCCTGTTTTCTTTACACTCCTCACCATGTGACAGATTCCCTCTTAGACTAGATACAATAACACACTTCTTCTTCTTCTTCAGATGATAGTGACTCAGGAGGGAGGGAGGAGGAGAAGTACAACAAGTGTGTGTTGGTGTGGGGAGATGCGTATTGTGGAAGCTTGAGGGATGGGTTGGGGTGCTGTAGGAGGAGGGTCCGCCACAAACCCTGGCGGATTTTCCCAATGGGTACAATGTGTGATGCCAATTTCTGGTGTCCCCTGCCATGATATTACTGGAATATTGGGGACAGTCTTCCCTTTGGGTCAGTTTTCCTGAGGTATTTAGCATCTAGGCCATCACTGGAGGCACGCACACTGTAGGGAGAGGGGTCAGTGTTGGGAAGGGATTAGGTTTTCCTGGGAGACAGTCTTCCTTTGGGTCAGTTTTCCTGAGGTATTTAGCATCTAGGCCATCACTGGAGGCACGCACACTGTAGGAGAGAGGGGTCAGTGTTAAGGGAAGGGATTAGGTTTTCCTGGGGAGACAGTCTTCCTTTGGGTCAGTTTTCCTGAGGTATTCAGCATCTAGGCCATCACTGGAGGCATGCACATTGTGGGAGAGGGGTCAGTGTTGGGAAAGGATTAGGTTTTCCTGGGGGAGACAGTCTTCCTTTGGGTCAGTTTTCCTGAGGTATTTAGCATCTAGGCCATCACTGGAGGCACGTACACTGTAGCGAGAGGGGTGGTGTTGGGAAAGGATTAGGTTTTCCTGGGGAGACAGTCTTCCTTTGGGTCAGTTTTTCCTGAGGTATTTAGCATCTAGGCCATCACTGGAGGCACGCACACTGTAGGGAGAGGGTCAGTGTTGGGAAAGGATTAGGTTTTTCCTGGGGAGACAGTCTTCCTTTGGGTCAGTTTTCCTGAGGCATTCAGCATCTAGGCCATCACTGGAGGCATGCACACTGTAGGGTGAGGGGTCAGTGTTGGGGGCCGGACAGCAGTTTTCTTGGAGGGACAATCCTCCTTTGGGTCAATTTTTGGTCACACAGTAGGATGAGGGGTCAGTGGGTAGTGTGTGTGTGGGTGTGGGAGGGGTAGGTAGTGTGGGGTTAGCAGTTTCCTTTAGCAGGGCAGTCTCACTAAGGGGCACAGTTATTGAAAATGAATGTTTCCCTCAGTGTTCTTTTTTTTTTTCAGGGTATGACAAAATCGAGGGGCCTTCTCTGAAATGAAGTTCAAGCTGTGTCCAACAGAATCTTTTGCACGTGAACAGTTCAGGAAGTGTGGTGTAGAACATTATTGGGACCTTGCGTTCAGTGGTGCTGTGTTAGAGGCGGCAGGAGAGGAGGTATGATGAGACGTGGGCACGACCACGACTGGGATGTTCTGAGTAAGGCAAGGTTGATGAGTGATGATAGGAGGTTAAGACAGCTTTAAATGGGAAGTACTGTGGCATAGGAAGATGGCGACGTTGGATGGACAGAGGAAGAGCTGGAGGAAGGCCATGGGAAGAATATGGACTCTGAGGTCACTTCTCATATCTAGAATATGCAATGGAGTGATAATGGCGATGACATGTGAAACAACAGTGAGAATGAATATCGAAGCTGACATTATTAACACCCTATCTGCTATTGAAAACATTAAAAAAGTCTAGTAATAAAAATTGTTTATTGAGGTGGTGGGGTAGCCTAGTGGCTAAAACGTTTGCTTGTCATGCTGAAGACCGGGTTCGATTCCCCACATGGGTACAATGTGTGAAGCCCATTTCTGGTGTCCCCTTCAGTGATTTTGCTGGAATAATGCTAAAAAAGCGTAAAACCATACTCTCTCACTCGCTTTGTTTTGTAGATAGGGGTAACGGGGACCTGGTATTATTTGAAAATGAATGATCAGTTACTGACATTGCAGGGTTGAAACAAAGCATTACAAATCCCAGACTCCCAAGGCTTGCAGATGGTCAGGGGCGATAGTTAGCCTAGTGGTTGATTCCCCACATAATGTACAGTGTGTGAAGCCCATTTATGGATATTGCTGGAATATTGCTAAAAGCAGCGTGAAACCATACTCACTCAAAATGAATGATCAGTTACTGACATTGCAGGGTTGGAAATCTGTCCTCAGGTTTACAAATAATCTGAAAAATCTGTGTCGTTGTTGCAAAAGTATTTGGCCATTTAGCCTGTATTGCAGAGCACACTGAAACAAAGCATTACAAATCCCTGATTCCCCGGCTTGCAAATGGTCGCAGAAATGGCGCATTGGTAGCCTAGTGGTTAAAGTGTTCTCTTATCACGCTGAAGACATGTGTTCGATTCCCCACATGGGTACAATGTGAAGACCATTTCTGGCATCCCCCACCGTGATATTGTTGGAGTATTGCAGAAGTGGTGGAAAGCCCATCTCACTCACTCAAATGGTCAGCCTATAGGTTAATTAGCTGTGTATGCTGATTGTGGTGTTCCATCTCACTCCGACAGAGAAGGCTGTGGGTTTGAAATGGTAAGTCAAGCATACTTTTCCCATATAAAATATTTGTCTGACTAGGGAATGAGATCACTAATCTTGTATAGCATCTATGAAAGTAACTGTCACTTTGAATGAAACAGGTTGGCGGTGCTGAGTTGCCTCCCTTAGTTACAACAGAATCCAGTAATCAATAAGAAACCACAGCCATGCTTCTGGCATTTACCAAAGAAGCAAACAATAAAGACCTGGGACACTAACCACAAAGCTTTTGTTAGAACTCTACCAAGACACGGGTTCGATTCCACATGGGCACAATGTGTTAAGCCCATTTTCTGGTGTCCCCGCCGCGTGATATTGCTGGAATATTGCTAAAAGCCGTGAAAAACTAAACTCAGTCAGTCAGTCAGTCAGTAGAACTAATGCCATTTGTAACCAGTGCTAAAGTATAGAGTTACGTAACACTCTACGAATGCTCTGTGGATTAAGATTTCAAGCTTTCTCCCATATTCTTCTGACACTGAGCAATCTGACCATGAATCAGATCATCCATGTCTCGAGGCCTTGAGGATCTTGTGACACAGATTAAATGCCAACTCACTCCATTGACAGGAAATACAGTTTTCTTAAGTCATCAAAATATGAATGATCTGTAGATTCGATTTAAAGATTGCTGTATGGTTGATAACAGATTGTAAATATGGAATAAATGTTTTTTCTAAGTTTAGTTGTTTTGTTATGCTTTCATTTTGTGTAGTACACAGACTGGGTGTGTGGTGTGAGTATTGAGTATTGATTGTCTGGTCAGGAGTGTATATACAAGACCATGCTTGGAGGTCACAGACTAACTGCGTGGGTATTGTAGGAAGGTGGAATATCTGGTCAGGAGTATTTACAAGACCCTGCTTGGACGTCACAGACTGTAACTGTGTTGGTATTGTAGCAAGGTGGAATATCTGGTCAGGAGTATTTACAAGACCATGCTTGGGCGTCTGGAGACTGTAACTGTGTTGGTATTGTAGCAAGGTGGAATATCTGGTCAGGAGAGTATTTGCTAGACCATGCTTGGATGTCACAGACTGTAACTGAGTGGGTATTGTAGCAAGGTGGAATATCGGTCAGGAGTATTTACATGACCATGCTGGACGCCGCTACAGACTGTAACTGTGTGGGTATTGTAGCAAGGTGGAATATCTGGTCAGTCGAGTATTTACAAGACCATGCTTGGATGTCACGGACTGTAACTGTGTGGGTATTGTAGCAAGGTGGAATATCTGGTCAGGAGAGTATTTACAAGACCATGTTAGGATGTCACAGACTGTAACTGTGTGGGTATTGTAGCAAGGTGGAATATCTGGTAAGGAGAGTATTTACAAGACCATGTTAGGATGTCACAGACTGTAACTGTGTGGGTATTGTAGCAAGGTGGAATATCTGGTCAGGAGTGTATTTGCTAGACCATGCTTGGATGTCACAGACTGTAACTATGTGGGTATTGTAGCAAGGTGGAATATCTGGTCAGGAGTGTATTTGCAAGACCATTCTTGGATGTCACAGACTGTAACTGTGTGGGTATTGTAGCAAGGTGGAATGTCTGGTCAGGAGTGTATTTACAAGACCATGCTTGGATGTCACAGACTGTAACTGTGTGGGTATTGTAGCAAGGTGGAATATCTGGTCCGGAGTGTATTTCCAAGACCATGCTTGGATGTCACAGACTGTAACTGTGTGGGTATTGTAGCAAGGTGGAATATCTGGTCAGGAGCGTATTTACAAGACCATGCTTGGATGTCACAGACTGTAACTGTGTGGGTATTGTAGCAAGATGGAATATCTGGTCAGGAGTGTATTTACAAGACCCTGCTTGGATGTCACAGACTGTAACTGTGTGGGTATTGTAGCAAGGTGGAGTATCTGGTCAGGAGTGTATTTACAAGACCATACTTGGATGTCACAGACTATAACTGTGTGGGTATTATAGCAAGGTGGAATATCTGGTCAGGAGTGTATTTACAAGACCCTGCTTGGATGTCACAGACTGTAACTGTGTGGGTATTGTAGCAAGGTGGAATATCTGGCCAGGAGTGTATTTACAAGACCATGCTTGGATGTCACAGACTGTAAGTGTGTGGGTATTGTAGCAAGGTGGAATATCTGGTCAGGAGTGTATTTACAAGAATATGCTTGGATGTCACAGACTGTAACTGTGTGGGTATTGTAGGAAGGAGGATTGTCTGGTCAGGAGCGTATTTACAAGACCATGCTTGGATGTCACAGACTGTAACTGTGTGGGTATTTGTAGCAAGGTGGAATATCTGGTCAGGAGTGTATTTACAAAACCATGCTTGGATGTCACAGACTGTAACTGTGTGGGTATTGTAGCAAGGTGGAATATCTGGTCAGGAGTGTATTTACAAGACCATGCTTGGATGTCACAGACTGTAACTGTGTGGGTATTGTAGCAAGGTGGAATATCTGGTCAGGAGAGTATTTGCTAGACCATGCTTGGATGTCACAGACTGTAACTGTGTGGGTATTGTAGCAAGGTGGAATGTCTGATCAGGAGTGTATTTGCTAGACCATGCTTGGACGTCACAGACTGTAACTGTGTGGGTATTGTAGCAAGGTGGAATATCTGGTCAGGAGTATTTACATGACTATGCTTGGATGTCACAGACTGTAACTGTGTGGGTATTGTAGGAAGGTGGAGTTTCTGTTCAGTCGAGTATTTACAAGACCATCCTTGGATGTCACAGACTGTAACTGTGTGGGTATTGTAACAAGGTGGAATATCTGGTCAGGAGAGTATTTACAAGACCATGCTTGGATGTCACAGACTGTAACTGTGTGGGTATTGTAG